CCCTGGGGGGTCGTGTGTCTGAGGGCTCCCTGCCACAGCTACTGTCCAGGGGAACAACGCTGCAGAGGGTGGTTCCGGGTTGCGTCATCATGGAGGCCTACTGCTACGTGCTCCTTCCCTCCCTCCTTCCCTCCTTCACTTCCTCCTTCCCTCCTTCCCTCCTTCCCTTCACTTCCTCCTTCCCTCCTTCCCTTCACTTCCTCCTTCCCTCCCTTCCTCTTCCACTCCCTCCTGTCTTTTGCCTCCCACTCCGTCCTCCTGCAGCTGCAAAATGTTCTCCTCTCAACTCATTCACATGGAGCTACAAGTGGCTGCTCCAGATTGTGTTGAATGAATGAGGGTCCATCGTTGGAGACAGGGAGGGGGCTCAGAGTTGACATCGAATGGGGTCAGCTGATCAGGACATTTGGAGACCCCCGCTGTAGAGCCCAAAGCGTGCTGGAGGGGGTCATAGATCTGGTATGGCCCCCGTACGGCGGGGGGCGACCTTCCGGGCAGAGAGCCCCCCCTCTGTGACCCGGCCCCACACACACGCAGGGAATCGTGGATTTACATGTTTGGCTTTTATCAAACTCAAAGTATCATCATCATCGTTGGGATTCGTCTTGTGGAGATCGTGCTTCATAAAAGCCGTCATGGTCACTTTGGGGTCTTCACTGAGTATCAGAAAAGTCCACTGCTGAGCCTGAGGAGTCACCTCCACCCAGCAACCCGTCACTGCACCACGACGCCGTCACTACTTCCTGTCCACAAGACCACCGCTTAATTTACCTGGATAAAGATGACTGTTTAATTAATAACCACCACGATTAGCAGACTGAGCAGCAGGTTGGTGGTTCAGTAAGTGGTGTCAAACCCACGACCTTCAGCAAACACACAACGCTGTCAGGGACACGTCCAGCAGGCAGCAAAGTCCTAATCGGTACTGTGATTATTTTATCAGCCGTCATGGAACTATGGTTGCCAAATGAAAACACGAGGGCCGTGAGTGGGTGCAGGCTCGTGCTGGTCTGGGATCAGGAAACGACACTAGAGCGAGAGGAAGTCGCCCCCAGCTGATGACGGGGTCACGTACCTTCTGGGCGAGCGTGACGTTGAAGGAGTAACAACGAGCAGATTGCAGGTGTGTCCTTTCATTACATACTTGTCCAACGGCTCACATACGGGGACGTCCTCGAGCATTTGGGTTATTATTGGTGTCCACACCGTCCTCTGGGAGAGACACACATTCAACACACAGCTTTGCTGAGCTCATCACAACGGGTTTCCTCCGTCGTCCTGCTGACACAGAACCGCTCAGTGATGACGCATGAATGTGTCCCGAGGACAGTTACTTGACCTGGTCTCTGGGTGTCCATACTGATCCCTGGTCTACCCATCAACCCCGACCAAGGGACGGACACACACACTTTACCAGATAATAATCTCATTCAGCCGCACCCGGAGCCCCAAAGCTCGTCTTTCACGCGGGTGAATCAGCAAGAATCCGGGAGACGGTCGTCTGCGGTTACGTTCCTCCTCCAGTTGACGGAACACGACACGGCGCAAAGGGCGCCGGCTGGGGGAGACGCCCGGGGACAGGCCCTTCTCTGGATCACATTTGAGAGGGAGAAACCACATTAGGCGAGATTGGCTGAGCGAAGAAGATAAGGAGAGCGAGGAGCAGATGGTGGACAGGAGCCGGACGCAATATCAGAATCTTCCCAAAAACTTCAAAAAAAGGGGGAAACTATCTGCAACAATCCCTGATGCACATTATAGAGCTCAGCCCACCGGCACATGAAGAACACGGCCAGTCAGCTGGATTCAAACTATTCAAGCTCATCGTTCATGATGGAATAGAAACGGATTCAGATTGTAAACTTTTCAAAGACAAAACAGGCAGAATTCTCAAATATACAACAAATAGAAAAGGTGTATTTATGCATCTATACGGGTTGTTCTGCTCAAAGTATCCACGTTGAACCTGCAGTTGTACAAGTTTAATAGATCTATGTCAGCTTGGACATGAGAATAGGGTTTTAAAAAGACGCACTTTAAAAGCGTGTTAATGTACAGTAACAGTCATCGTCCCAATGAGTTTAAACCTTTGACCTTTGGTACGGTGTCGTTGGGGGTATTTTGTTGTACGTGAGTATTTAACCCTGAATAATGGATTGACACAAACACCCTGCCATGAATATTTGCCCCCCCCCGTGTCTCCGGCCGCAGATGACGCGTCATGTACACACTACGGACACTACGGGGTCTGCAGACCAAGAGGACACACAAGTCTTACTTCTAATAACGCCGACTCTTCATCCGCCATGTAGAGGAGCTGCAGCGTGACGCGTCTGTCCAGACGCCACAAAAGGGACTCAAGTCTTTTGACTCAACGTCGGGTCACATGTACCCCGTGTGGCCCCCCAGCTCACCTCATTTAGACCGCATGACAAGAATCTAACCTTTGAGGGACCACTTGTGGGTAGAAAGCAGGGCCCTGGGCTCCCGCCGCTCATCTCTGGCACCAGGGTTACCGTGGTCACGTTACCGTGACGCCCACCAGCCCCCCATGATGCTGCTTATCAAAGGGCCCGATAAGACAACGTCAGCGCTACGTGCCGCCTGACACAACGCAGGCGAGCGGACTGACCGCCGCGCTGTGGCCCTGGCGGCTCAGGAATGCGCTTGTGGCAGCTATCTTTGACCTTTGACCTTTGACAGGCAGGATAAAACGGCCATCTGCTGGGCTTCAGCAAACAGAGACGCAGAGACATCGTGACGGGCCGCTGCTTTAACTTCAAAGTGGCCGTGAAGAGTTTTGATCCAATTGTATTGCCCCCCAAAAAATGTTACAGTGCGACTTGGTGAGGGTTTTTATCCCCCACCAAGTCGCCAATATATGCACGGAAAATAAAACCTCTTCAACAAGATCTCCCCTCTTACTGATCCAAGGAAACGTTTACCTGCCCAGCGTACCAGTGAACTAAAATAACTTCACTGTACACATACGAACCGGTTCCAGAGAGCAGCAGGTCACAGCGGCGTGACGCTGAAAAGCATCCCGAGCGCCACCAGGATTCACAACGTTTCAATAAGTTCCACCTCTGATAAATGCCAATGTGAAGGACAATTACTCCTTGAAGGGGTTTATCCACCCTGCTTGGAAGCAGGGGGGAAAGAGTTTGATCATCTGGCTCTGGGGGGCGGCGGCGGAGGGTTCTCAGATTTTTATTGATACGTCTGATGGAAGACCTGAACCCTGAAACCTTCATCCGTGACAGATTTCTCCAAGCAGCCACCGTTCAGTCAGCGGCCCCTTGAAATCAATGGGTTTCTCTCTGTGTGTGTGTGTGTGTGTGTGTGTGTGTGTGTGTGTGTGTGTGTGTGTGTGTGTGTGTGTGTGTCTCGGGTGAAGTGAGCTTATTGACAGTTGGCACCATTTTTGTTTTTCGATGACGCCATCTTGTTTTTTGGAACCAGACACTGGGAAAGGGTTAAAGTTCAAAGACAAAAACCACAGACAACTCCTGGATAGGATAACGCCTTGGAAGTGACCTGTCAATCACAGTAAGCCCCGCCCTAACGCATCGCGTTCTTTATGGTCTGTTTGACTCTGAACGGACCATAATTTAGTAAACTTGTGTTTACACCGTTTACTGAGGGAACAAATCCAGAGAGGAGTAGAGTGATGTTCTCAGACTCTATGGGACCAGAGGAGTCGCCCCCTGCTGGTCCGGAGGGAGAATGCACGTTTCAGCACGTCTCAGACCTCACAGGTTGCCACGTCGGCTCCGGCACCGATAACTTTAAAACACACGGCCATGTGTGCTGCATGAGTCAGCTCCGAGCAGCTGGGGCCGCGCGCACACGCGCACGCATGCACGCACACACACACGCACACACACACGCACACACACACACACACGCACACGCACACGGACACACACACACGCACACGCACACGCACACGCGCACGCACACACACGCACACCTGTTGCACCCTGCAGACACACAAAGACCTCTCTGCTGGCCACATGACTCTTGACCATTGAAGGACTGCTGGGAGAACTGCTCTTAAAAAGCTATGGTGCAGACTTGTCAACCAGCGGGGGGGGGGGGGGGGGGCCTCTTTTCTCCTGGATGCTGCCGTCCGAAGGACCAACATGGCCCAAAACCCCCCAGGATAAAATGAGGGATGAAGAAAGAGAAATTGGTGGTTTTCATTGTGGACTCCAACAACACCTCATAAAAAAAAACAACGCGATTCTCAACCACAGTTTGGCCCACAAACAGATAACCAACACTGGACCCACTTAAGGAGGGAAGGGGGGGGGGGGCGCAACCCACACTGCATGTCTCCCTTCTCATTACACACAGTTTGATGGGAGATGGGACTGGGGGGGGGGGAGGAGGTCCAACCCTTCCGTAAAGGCTGCAGAGGGACATTACCACGTGGATGGGGGGGGGGGGGGGGGGACATCTCAAGCTGAATTAAGCACCAAAACAAATACAACTTCATCAGCAACTTTTCCCAATTTTTTTTAGGACAAGCTCTTAATCTGACTGATAAAGGAGGACATACCCCAACTAACCCCTGACCCCAAGGCGGTAAACAGGGGGGTTACACATTGGGAGATTTGGACCCCCCCAACAGCAGTCTCCACAGAGACGCTCCGGGTCACTGTTGTCCTTCAAAGGGTCCTACAGAGCCAGCGTCCTCTGCACCGGGAGCAACTCGCCCCCCTCCCCGGTTACCGCGCCCCGCACACGGCGCCATGCTGACGGGTTTAAGCACGGGTCCACCGTATGGTTAAGGAGGCTGACGCCCCCCCCCCAGGTCACCCCAGAACCCCACAGCCCACACACACGCGATTAAATCAACGCTCCCCATCACCCGCGCTGGCCGACGCGTCCCCCCGGGGTGCGCGGTGCGCGGGGCGGGGGGGGCGCGACACGTCCAGCTCCGCGACCCCCCCGCGTGACGCCTCACATTCGGGACCAGGGGGGAATCGTCTTACCTCATGACCCAATATGTCGGCGCTCCGCGGCTGACTTGTAGTTTTTCTGCCCCCAAAAAGTTGTCCGCTCGGCTCGAGGCGGCGGGCGGTCAGATGAAAGCGGCTTCCGGCGGCTTCACGGTGACAAACCGCGACAAGTAGCAAAGGAGACCGAGAATGCGAGTAGAAGCGAGCCGGTCGAGCCCTACATGATCCACCGCGGCTCCGCTGCTGGTGACTGGCGGAGGGTCCGTTCCGTGGCGCACTCGGTGTCGGCTGTGCTGCGGCTCGGCTCGGCTCGGCTCGGCTCGGATGCCGGTCTGCTGCCGCTGCCTGCTGGAGGCAACGCGCTCTGCGTTCAGGGCCGCACCGAAAGCTCCCGTTTTAAGCTCCGCCATCACCAGCCGGGGAAAAGGCGCCGTAGTGGACACACGTTGGCGCTGATTGTGGCGCTATCGGCGGCACATTGGAGAATACAACACATGTCCGAGGCAGAGCGGCTTTAGTGAGACAACGCGGGTGCTGGAGGTGATTTGGGGGGCAGGCTTCGTTCATGTGTATTGTGGTCACTAATCATAAGAACGGGTGTTGCGATGACGCGGGCTCGTCTGGCCCTCAGGGGAAATACTCCTCTAAAGGTTTGCTCCTATAAAACTCTTTCCGTGGGGCATTCGCGCCCGCTCCATTTGCGCGTTGTTGTTTCCCACAGTACCCGAACGCAGCAATTGACGCAACTTGTGGGACGGAGCACGTCCGCGTTGCCCCTGACAACTGAGTTGGTTCTGTCTGCCCGCGTGGAGCCGCGCAAATGTTACATCTGCTACAGATCTCAACTGCAAATTTGATATTTTACCAAATTGTATTATTAGAAAAACATGAGGCTTTTGCTAACTTTTGCATTTTGTAAATTCAACGTGAATATGACTGTTAATGACAAAGTACCCTGCTGAAAAACACAGCATAGAACAACATCCTTTCCATGCTGTGCCATGCTGGTCCATGCTGGGTCGGTGCTGGTCCATGCTGGTCCATGCTGGTCCATGCTGGTCCATGCTGGTCCATGCTGGGTCGGTGCTGGTGAAGCTGGTCCGTGCTGGTGAAGCTGGGTCATGCTGGTCCATGCTGGGTCATGCTGGGTCGGTGCTGGTGAAGCTGGTCCGTGCTGGTGAAGCTGGGTCATGCTGGTCCATGCTGGGTCGGTGCTGGTGAAGCTGGTCCATGCTGGGTCGGTGCTGGTGAAGCTGGTCCATGCTGGGTCGGTGCTGGTGAAGCTGGGTCATGCTGGTGAAGCTGGTCGACCAGCAACAACTCATAAATGATGCTGGTCCACCTCCCTGGTGACGCTGATACTTTAAACATTAGTATCAACGTTCAATTTTGAAATGAGTGCATGTCATTTAGCTCACATAAATGTAATTATACAATTATTATTCAAGAAATGAAAAAACAGAATCAAATACTGATTTATACTGGAAGACATAATATGTATATAGAGCAACGGTAATTCATTTGAACAACGTGCAGCACGGAGCTGGTTGTCTGCTTCTACGTCTGTTTGGGTGGAGCTTCCTTCAAGTCAGCGACACGTGTACACGCGTGACCGATTTACCGCCAGAATCTAACAGCACCACTGCTTTAATGAGCATAGATGGCGTCCTCCACCTGTCGTTTAGCGCTCCGATGAGTGCGATACATCCAAGGCATCGTAACAAAAAGCGTCCTTTCTGGCCTTAACTGAGGCCCGATGTGAGGGAAGCCTGGCCAGCTGTGTTAGCGCCTCGCGCTGCATCTGCTTTGTAGACCGAGGAAAACAGTGAGACCATAAAGAAAAAACCTAAAGAACAAGAATAACACAACTAAGTCCACAATAAGCCGCTCTGGATATTCAGACTATTAGGTTCAGACGAAGCTCCCAGTGGTCCTTTTTTCAAAGAGGATTATGAACTTAAAATGAAATTGAAAGGTGGAGGCAAAGCCTTCTGCCTTTATGTAATGCCAGTGCACTTTGGTACGACGCCTCTGTGCAGGGGGCAGATGGTACCAAAACAATGGCGTCACTCTCTTTCGATCTAAGCTTTTCACTCAGTTGTCAGCGGGGGAACCGTACAATACAAATAGAAAATATCATTGAACTGCTCTCTGAAGTCACGTGGGAGAACCTCCTTTGTTTTCATGTCTGTGATGGTGGCATCTGAAGTAGATGATGTGGCGCTGGGGGGGACGAGCTGCTTCTGACTCAGCTGATGATGAATGAGCCGTCAGCTGGACGCCGCTCACTCCTCGCCATCTCTCACTGGGACCATCTATGATCAGCAGGAGAAGCACAAAGAGCCCCTTTAGGAGTTTAGTCTTCTGGGTGCATCAAATATCCTTCAGTAAAATACCTCAACTTTGTCTGCCATCTAGTGTACAACTTGCTGCATTACATCACCTGTCATTTATCTGACGCTTTTATCCAAAGCGACTTACGATAAGAACATTTCAACCATAAGGACACAAACTCAAACAACCAGAACAAGAAACAAGGATTGCAATTTCATCAAATAAGCCGATGTACAACCTGCTGTAGATAAGAACCATTATGAGTCCAATGTAAGTGCTGCAGTTAGTTAGTGTGTTAGTGGAGGTAGAGTCTGAAGAGGTGTGTCTTTAGTCTGAAGATGTGAAGGCTCTCTGTGGTCCTGATGTCTTCAGAGACCTCCTTCCACCATTTAGGAGCAGGACAGCAAAGAGTGGAGATCTAGTCGAGTGTTTTGCTCTCAGTGAGGAGGAACAAGCAGTTTATCACATGCAGAGCGGAGAGGTCAGAGGTCGGGAGGTCGGGGTGTCGGGAATCAGGAAACATTTATTGCCAAAATATGTCAAACATACAAGGAATTAGTCTTGGCGGTTGGTGCGTGACAGTAGACAGTGTGACAATAGACAACAAGACAGCAGTGCACAAGTAATAAAATAAGGTAAAATGCTAATGCAATGGGTTTGTAGAATAAGGCTACGGGTTAGTATAAAACAAGGGAATAAAGTTAAAGTTAAAAATGTAAAATATTTAAAAAGTTTAAAAAAATATTAAACATAAAGTGCACTATCGAACAAGTGACGAGTGATAAATGACAGTTAAAGTGACGTGTGCAGTGTGAGGGGGAGTGACCGGTGGAATGTTATAGTCAGGCAGTGGGGGACCGGCTCTGTTGATGAGCCCGACTGCCGACGGGAAGAAACTGTTTGTGTGGCGGGAGGTCGTAGTCCTGATGGACCTCAGCCTCCTGCCAGATGGAAGGGGCACAAACAGGTTTTGTCCGGGGTGGGAGGGGTCGGCTACCATCTTTTTAGCTGCTTCAGAGACCTGGAAGCGAACAAGTCCTCCAGGGACGGCAGATTGCAGCCGATCACCCTCTCTGCAGAGCGGAGGACCCGCTGCAGCCTGCCCTTGTCCTTGGCTGTGGCTGCAGCGTACCAGACGCTGATGGAGGAGCAGAGGATGGACTCCATGATGGCCGTGTAGAAGTGGACCATCATCGTCTTTGGCAGGTTGAGTTTCTTCCGCTGCCTCAGGGAGAACAACCTCTGCTGAGCCTTCTTGGTGATGGAGCTGATGTTCAGCTCCCACTTGAGGTCCTGGGTGATGATGGAGCCCAGGAAACGGAGGTTTCAGGTTGTTCTGACTGCACCACGACACCAGATGGTCAGACTCCACCTGTAGGTGGACTCGTCCCCACCAGAGATCAGTCCAATGAGGGTGGTGTCATCCGCAAACTTCAGGAGCCTGACCGACTGATGACTGGAGGTGCAGCTGTTGGTGTAGAGGGAGAAGAGCAGAGGGGAAAGAACGCAGCCTTAGGGGGAACCGGTGCTGATGGTCCGAGAGGCTGAGACATGTTTCCCCAGCTTCACCTGCTGCTTCCTGTCAGACAGGAAGTCTGTGATCCACGTCGGGTTGGACCAGGTCCTGGATGTAAGCTGGACCCCATCCATTCACAGCATGGTACCTGAGCACCATGTTTAGAACTGGATGAGCCACCGGTACCAGTGAAGAGAGCGGAGGAGTGGAGGAGAACTTAGGAAGGTCAAAGACCAGTGGAGCTGCTGCATTGTGGGTGAGCTGCAGAGGTGGAATGGAGGTACCAGGGAGACCTTACACAACGGGAGCGATTCTTCTCAAAAGGTAGATCGATAGATACACGGGCAGATTGATACTTACTTTATTAATCCCGCGAGGGTATATGTGTTCACTAGAGCAGCGTTATAAAAAAATATATATGTATATACACAATATATTCCCAAAAGAAGTATTACATTGAAATCAACTAAATAAACTTTAGCAGGGCTCTGAAGTTTTTTAAGGCGTGACATTTTGTCGGGGGTGGACGCTACGGCCGCCGGGGGGAGTAACCAACACGGCTCGGACCGGGGTCCGATTTCTTGGCGTGAGGAGTTGGATGTGTGGCGCGTGTGCGTGACTAGAGACCGAAATGCGTGACACTTGAGATTTAACCAACCAATCAAACAACAGTGTAACTGTAGTTGTTTAATAGTATTTTTTTAGGTATGTGTACTGCAGTTTTGTGGTACTTGTGCTGTATATTTCTACACTTTGAGGTGGTACATTTATATTGAGACGGATTAATGCCACTTTATCCACATTTCCACACCTCTTCAGACTCTTCCTCCACTAAAAGACTAACAAACTGTAGAACTTAAATTGTACTTATAACGCCACTTATCTACAGCAAGTTGTAGATTGGCTTATTTGATGAAATTGCACTTTCTTGTTTCTTGTTCCTCTGAGTTTGTGTCCTTATGGTTGAAATGCAGTTATTGTAAGTTGCTTTGGATAAAAGCGTCAGCTAAATGACATGTGATGTGATGTATGCAGCAATGCTACCTCAAGGCCAATGGAGCAAGGCCAGATTGGTTGTATTATAATATGATTTTAATACAGTGCTTTTGCCACTTAAGGATCATCTGAATCTTTCCTCCATGATGACTGAGCACTCATCTCATTCTTGGATTCAAAAATTACGCTAGATCTCATCTAGAGTGCAGCAGCTCAGCCAATAATAATGACTATGATCTGAAATCAGTCAATCTTATTCTGAGCCATGCGGACCGTCGAGAGGGAGCTGGGACGGGCTTCAGTCTGAAGGGAAACCACCAGGGGGCGACAAGTTGAATTTCCCACACAATCCACCTCACAACTATTTCCGGTCCTGCGAAGGATCATGTCAGAATAAAGGCTGCGGGCAGTCGGGGCCATGGACATATGGTGTAAGCTTGTAGCTCCGTTGCTTTAACACGCACTTGTTGATTCAACTCAAGAAGTGTAACTCCAACTACATTGGTTTATTTGAATATCAAAATATGGAAGTAAAGTGTTAGAATGAGATGAAGCTAATGAATAGGAACTTCATATCAATTTAGTCACTGGTCCTTTATTCTATTAAATTTGAACTTGTTTAAATGGGCTCCAAATAATATCCTGTATTATCTATTTGAGTCATCTTTCTCTTTTTGAATCACTATTTGAAATGACAAAATAATACGATAAACCTCAGAAGGAACGCTGGACGTGCTTTTGTTTCGAAGCTGCGACCCGGAAGTGGTTTCTGCTCAACATCCCCTTCACGCTGATTGGCTGCGCTGATGCGGCGTTCTGTTAGCAGCGCCGCTCCGCCGAGTGAGACGTGTTCTTCGGTGTAACGGTCACGTAGCTCTCGTTAGACGACATGCCGTATTTCCAGACGTGGGAGGAGTTCGCCCGCGCGGCGGAGAAGCTGTACCTCACGGACCCCATGAAGGTGGCGAGTGTTCACCGCTCGAGCGCCGCACGCTAGCCGGGCCGCTCGTGGCCGCGCTTGACGTTCCGTTGTTCTTGTTTCCAGGTGCGCGTGGTGCTGAAGTACAGACACTGCGACGGAAACCTCTGCATCAAAGTGACGGACAACGCCGCGGTGAGTGACGTGAGCGAGTAGCCTCGACTTCTGTTGGAAATGGTCACTCCGGGGTCTGTACCTGAGGTCAGGGCATCACGTGGGCCCCATTCCAGTGACGTCAGCTGCTGCCAACAACGTCACGTGTTAATGAGTCCTTCCGATACTCGTAGTTCTTCCTGATGAGTTTGATCCATCAACTACACGTATCGAAGGTCTTTACCAGCACTGTGTGTCTGGAGACAGTGACGAAATCATCCGCTGATCTGGCTACCGGAAGTGCTTGTGTACTACACGCAGGATGAATGAAACGCATGAAATGAACCAGCTATGATGCCAGTGATGGTGCTGATAGTAATGCACTGGTAACTAAACCGTTTACGTCCCACAGTGTTTACAGTACAAGACGGACCAGGCTCAAGACGTGAAGAAGATCGAGAAGCTCCACGGGAAACTGATGAGACTCATGGTGTCCAAGGAGACGCACAGCGGCTCCATGGAGACGGACTGAAGCGCTCGGCGGGCATCCGGACTGAGCTCAGTGGACACGGTGGTGGTTGTTTGCACAGGACCATCGGTGCAACGTGGAGCCCCGAGACATGGACCTGGTCATGGGACTGGTCATGCATACTGTATATGTTTTATTCTCTCAGGATGTTTATGATACGTTCTTTATATAAAAACAATCCACTTTCATTTGACTTATTGTGATTCATCCCAGACGGCGTTCCTGTTAGGCGCGTGCAGGCTGTCAAGAAGAGAGGTGCTGCAATGTAAGCAGCTTTGGCACCTTGATTGTTTTACTGGAGCTTGTTTTATTTTCAGCTTTAAAGAGGACAGAAATAAAGGACCGGCAATGAAGACATTGCATGTTTTTAGTCTTTTCTCTATTTACATCAATGTCGGATTCAATTTCAGCACAACGGTTGTTTTATGCATCACAGACCTGATTTCCCAACAGAGTGGAGGACACACACACACACACACACACACAAATGCTATTTTGTCATGTGTTGCGTGTTCAATAAATGCGTATTTAGCCCAGTATCTGTGTTCATCTGGTCTACAAGCCGGTATGTTGATGAGCCCTGTACCACCTGCTCCTGTAGGCAAAGCTCGGTTGTAGTTCTTGCTCTTGAAGGGGGTCCATTTCCAAACTGCCCACTTCCACCCTTTCTGCCCGGAGGGCTGCAACACAAAGTGCCACCCCAAACCAGCGGGGGGGTCAACTGCCAGCGAGCTGTGAAGTAATACAGGCGATGGCGTGACCTTCAGTGAAACATCTAGGAGTGTTGATGTCCACAGCGTCTTCACCCCCCCACACGTGGACATGTCAAGGCGCACCCCCCCCCCCCACCTTTCCCACATCTAACGTTCACTTAAAGCCTAGTTTATGCTTCTGCGTTTTCAGAGCGACGCAGACGCAAGACCCCCTGCGTGTCCCTTGGTGTCTTTTCACGCGTCCTCGCGTGTGTCGAGACATTTTCCTCCTGCAGCACCAGGCTGTGATTGGTCCGCTGACTACGTCCTTTACGGAGTCTCACACCTCCGCTTTCAGCCCGATACCGACATTATTAAAACCAAGAATGTTTGCGAGAGAACGGAGCAGATTGAAGAACTTCTGTGGGAAGAAATGCGTAAATATGAGCGCTTGTACGAGACGCCATTGGCGGGTTTAGAAGCGGGTTGGATTCACGGAGGGAGATCGCCGCACACGAGGGGAACAAAGTCGTGGAGGAAAATACGGGACAAATGTGTCCTTGATGAAAAGCAGCAGTGTGGATGCACGGGGCAATAAAGTCTATGATACATAAATAAACTAATACATAAATAGACGTGACTCTCCAGGTCGTCTTCAACAAAACACGTGACTGTTGTTGTTGTTCTGGAGGTGAATCGCTCTGCAACACACGCACGACTTTACAACCAGGAAGTGAAACCAGTGCGTCGCCGCGTAAAGACGCACGCGCCGCCTTAAAGCCCAGCGGGGCCGTTTGAGCGGGAGGCGGGACCGGACGGACCGGACGGACCGGACGGCTCCGGCGCGCGCACGAGGAGCGGGGCGGCGCGCGCACGAGGAGCGGGGCGGCGCGCGCACGAGGAGCGGTCAGCGCGTCGTGTTGACGGTTCCGCTCTTCACGCTCCGGTTGGTCGGCGACTCGCATCTGAACAAGTGGTTTGTTTTCACCAAGCTGGAGGTGAGTTGCACGCGGCGTGAACACGTACAACCGTTGGTCACGTGTACGTTCGTGGTCGCTAGTTGACGTTAATCATCAAGTCGAACTTCTCGCTGTCCAACTTTGTTAAGGTTACGTTAGTTAACGCCAGCGAATCATTGCGCGAGAGCTTGGGCGGGCGCTCTGCCCTCTACCCAGCATGCATCGGGGCGGACGGCTCGCTGCGCGTTAACGGTGCGGAGCTGTCCGCGGGCCGCACGGCAGTGACGTCACGATGCTCCCCTGAATGGGGGGCAACGCGCTGTCATGCAGGTCTCCGCAGGCTGCTTAGTCCTGTGGATCCGGTCAGCAGGTCGCAGTAACAAGGAGGCTTTTGTCCCCCAGGAAGGAATTTATTGCGCCATCGACCTGAAACAATCTGTCGTTTAGTCACAATAAGTAACTCGTTTTTTATGACGCACTCGTTGCATTAAGTCGTTTAATTTATGTTCATTGGGATAAAAGGACAACCTGCAGAGATAAATAACAAAAAAGCATTGTTTCATTTCGATGCCGTCTTGACAAACATTGACCTCATGACCCTTTCCCCCGTGTCACCTCTTCGACCCCCCCCCCTCCTCCCAGAGCGGAGCGCCATGTTCACAGAAGTGCTAGTGGCGCTGGCGATAGGAGGGCTGATCTTCTTCCTGGTTCAGAAGAGCCGAACCCCGGTTCTGAAGACGGAGGATGGCTGGTGGGGGGCCGGCGCGCCCCCTGACGGCGTGGAGGACATCAGCATTCGCCCCTTCAAAGTCACCACCAGCGACGAGGAGCTGGAGGTCAGACCCCCTCAGTAGGTCAGGCAGCCGGCCTGAGCGCTGCGGCATCTCACGCCTCCACGTGTCCCCCTCTGTCAGGACCTGAACAGGAGGATAGACCAGACTCGCCCCACCCCCTCCCTAGAAGACAGCCAGTTTAACTATGGCTTCAACTCCCAGTACCTGCAGGAGGTGGTGTCCTACTGGCGGAATGACTTTGACTGGAGGAGGCAAGTGGACAAGCTCAACCGGTACTCTCATTTCAAAACCAACATCGAAGGTAAGGCTGCACTGCTGACACGTTCACTGAGGGGGGGTGTGGCACCTCTAAGCGCTTGTCCCCCCCCCATGGACCCCATCCAGGCATTGATGTCCATTACCTGCACGTGAAGCCCAGGAACGTGCCAGAGGGGTCCACCGCCGTTCCCCTGATAATGGTCCACGGCTGGCCCGGCTCCTTCTATGAGTTCTATGGGCTGATCCCTCTGCTCACAGAACCGTCGGACCCTCAGGATCTTGTGTTCGAGGTGGTGTGTCCCTCCATACCAGGGTACGGTTTTTCAGAAGCACCACACAAGAAAGGTGAGACCTGATGAAGTAGTGGCGCGTTGTACGTGGAGCCGTGTTTACTGTGTTGATCTCTAAATGTGAGCGTGTGAACAGGTTTTGATTCGGTTTGCGCGGCGCGCATCTTCCATAAACTGATGAAGCGCCTGGGCTTCCACAAGTTCTATGCCCATGGAGGAGACTGGGGCTGGCTGGTCACCACCAACATGGCTCAGCTGCAGCCCGGGTAAGACGCACGTCACTAGTGCTAGTTACTAGTCCGGTGTTCATAAGCGGTAGTGCTCACGAGTACCAGATGCTACGTTGAGACTTCCATAGCCGGTTGAGTTACTCTGAATAATGTATCACTCGTCTTTTCATTTTGTTTGCCCCAGGGTAGTCAAAGGGCTGCACGTGAACTTTGCCCCCAACTCCAGACCCGGCCTGTCCATGGTGCTCTCCGTCATGCTGGGCCGTCGCTTCCCTAAGATGTTCGGCTTCACTGACTTTGACGTTCGGCGTCTCTTTCCCTGCGTGGACAAACTGGTGGTGGAGGCCGTCAAAGAGACTGGCTACATGCACATCCAGGCCACCAAGCCTGACACCGCGGGTAAGGACCACCAACGTGAGGCGCTGACTGACCCCCCCTGCTTCAAACGCTCCATCATCCCGGTCCCCGAGGAATCGTTGTAAAGAACTACAAATGAATTTGTTGAATTTGCAGCATTAGGAGGTCATATCTACTGAAATCCAAAACCTCTTAACAAGTTCCATGTTAACATGGACCCGTTGATATCGACTCCACAACCCCTGCATCCGTTGATCTCGTGAGTTCCTTCATCGTTTCTGCTTTAATGCCATAAAGGTCTCTGCTTGGATGTGAACTGTAGACCTTTTGCTTGATGCTGCCGGGTTAAGGTCAGGGGAAGATGGGGGCCACACCACGAGTCCCTCTCCTTTTATGCCCAGAGGTGAGATGGTGCATTGTCATGCATGAATACGACTTTGTACACAAGGCACGGGTCTCCTTAGGAGTCAGTCAGAAACTCGACATACTTTGGCGTCAGGGACCCTGAGGGGCCCAGCAGCGCTCGCCCTTGTTGGGACACGGAGCCGTTCACCAACCAGCCAGCAAGCAGAGATCACGTGTCGGTGGAGAACAGCCGAGCGACGGAAGAACAATGTCATTTCCATACTTTTTCGGGGAGGGGGTGAGGTCATGTCTGGGTGGGAAACACGGAACCGCCCTCCCCTGTCCCCTTGTTACCCTAATCAGCCACAGTCCCACAACCGCTGTGACGGATTCCCCGCAGGTCGAGGGCTCAATGACTCCCCGGTGGGCCTGGCTGCGTACATCTTGGAGAAGTTCTCGACGTGGACGAGCCCCGACTTCAGGAACCTGGAGGACGGAGGACTCACCAGGTCAGTAAAGAGCTTTTCAATGACCTCTGGTGTGAGGAGGCCGTATCAAACCGCCCATGTAAACATGCAAAGCTCTGAAGCCTGAAGGATGAGCTTCAGCCTCAGTGCTAACCAGTACATTCAGACTGGAGAATGAAGAGTTCCTACTGGACCAATAGTGTGTCTGCTGTCCTGCAGGAAGTTCTCTCTGGATGACCTGCTGACCAATGTGATGATCTACTGGACGTCTGGCTGCATCGTCTCCTCCATGAGGTTCTACAAGGAAAACTTTGGCCGAGGCCTCAACCAGCCTCATTCTAGGTGAGTGACGACCCCCAAACCCCAAATGGATGCAGTCAGAGGGAGGGTCCGTTCTTTTGTGGAACATTGGTACCAGTTCTATTCTCACATCTGAATAGTCACAATTTGGTCAAAACGTTTTCCCATTTTCCCTTTTGTTAAAACCTTCTCCCACGTAACCGGACTGGTTTCTGCATGAGAACACATCCATAGTCTGCATGTGTGTGCACTAACATACAGACCGCCTATTCCCGTGAACGCCTGCAGAGGAGCACGGACGCATCCATCCGCCCACCGGACGTTGGACGTCAAAACCAATGAGTGAATTATTAGCGATGCACGAATGGGACTCTGAGACTGTATGTGAGAGCAGTGTGATTAGAACGCTGCGTGCAGGTCCACACGGGTTCAGCCTCAGGTGATAAAACGTTCAGCTCAGGCTGCACCTGTTATTCTCCTTTAAATCACAAGCTGCTCCTTCGTTTAGTCCTGCTTTTTATTTTTCATTTAATATTTTTAACGGACATTTGGAGCTTTGTTTAGTCCTGTTTGGAGCAAGAGACGCTGCCCTGGTCTGGTGACATCCGGCCTACAAAAGCACCCGCAGGGACCTGAAGAAGGTCCTCGGAGCGCAGCTACAGACCCTTTGAGAACTGCGTTAATATAAATGTTAATATGGTCTCTACATCCCTGGCGTCTCCTCACAGGGTTCCCGTCTACGTCCCCACTGGCTACGCCTGCTTCCCCAACGAGCTCATGCACACCCCCAAACTCTGGGTGGAGCACAAGTACCGCAAACTGCTGACGTACTCGCCCATGGCCCGCGGCGGCCATTTTGCTGCCATGGAGGAGCCGCGGCTGATGGCCGAGGACATCCAGAACTTCACGAAGACGGTGGAGAAGAAGAAGAAGTAGTCAGTACAGCACGAAGTAGATGCAGAAGATGCTCCTTCTAGTGGAACTCCTAATCACACGTACTGGATTATAACACCTTAAAAATCATAGTGTGGGAATTCTAATAAACATCTTCTTGTGATGAGTATAAAGTATTCTGATATATTAGACAAGACACTAAAATACTTTGGTATAAGCCACTGTGAATATTTGGGACTATACAAATGATTAGTATAGTTGATTACATAATAGTTCTACTATTGTAGAAAGTGGCCCAGAAAGCTGAAGCGTAAATGTATGTCAATAGAAACCAGTCAGCTACCGAATAAAAGCAAAGCCTGACAGTTCAGCATTTGGAATTCATTTCATGTTCATTTCATTTTAGGAGAAGCCGCCGTTGGCAACATAACTGTAGAAGAACCATGAAACGAAAAGTAGAACAGAAATCAAAATAAAGTGATGAAATATAACGTTTAAAATACATTTACAATGTGTCTTTCGGCAAAGTTGTTCATACATTTTGTGAAATTAAACAAAATCTTGAATGAATGAAATGTGTCTGAGCCTCATCTGTGTCTCTACGTTAATAGTGATTAACCTCATAGTATTCTATGTATATAATAGTGAGATCATTAGTGATTAACTAAAGGATGTGAGCCAGAACCTTCAGGTATCGAGCGTCCGGGGGCCGAATAAGATCAACTTTCATATCACTTCAGTGACGTGCAGGCAGGTAGACGATGCCCAAATTCAAACATAAGAAGACTTATTACGTCGTTTTATTTAACGAACTTGTATTTTTACTGTTTATTCTTATAGTTATATATGCAATATGTGTGTTATTCCAATTGTTTAGATGTCACAATGACGAATGCAGCCGTTCAAATCAAATACAGAGAAACGGCAGAATAAGCTGCTTTTAACGTCCGTTCACTTTGATCCTGTTTTCTACAACACGGACGTCAAAGAGCAGCTCACGTTAAGAGCTTATTCCTGTAACCATCTGCGTTACGTATCAAACACGGACCCGTTAAAACCACCGATCTGAGGCGACTTTTACAACGTTGTGATCGACGTGTTCAGCGGATGGATTTTATGTACAAATAACTATTTTGTGCTTAATATTAAACTGATAAGTGTGGTGGAAGCCGTTTTCCTTCATATTCAGCGGCGCGTGTTTTGATGCTGACTGACAAACATAATTGGCCGCTGTGCAATAATTAAGCATTAATGTCCGAGAGGCCTTTGTCACAACCGGACGCTGTTCTGCTCGCTTTTTCTTTGCTGATCGCCACCAAATCAAGTAATAACTGCAGGTGTGTGCGCGGGGACACGCGCCCGGGCGAGAGATAATCGTCATGTCATCCTGATTGGAAAATTGCGTGCGTGCTTGTGTGTGTATGTGTGTGTGTCTATATGCTGCGCTTGTGTGTAACGTTTACTGTTTTGACGTGTTAGCCTAAATAACAAATCGGTAATTGGACTTTTAGAACTCAGTGCCTTCCCTCTTACTGACATCAGTTAGGGCTGGCTCAGGTTAGTCCGGACCAGCCCTTAGTTAAGCTGCTATAGGCTTAGACTGCTGGGGGACTTCTCAGGACACATCGAGCTCCTCTCACGCTCTCCTTCTACCATAATCCACGTTTTATTAATGCACATCACTAATTCAGCTTCTCTCCGGGAGTTAGTTTGTGCTTTCTCCCCTAGCAGGTCTCCGTAGATCGTGGTTCCTTCGGGACCCTGGTCCTGACACCTGCCTGGTTCTATCTGATGGTGGTTCTATGTGATGGTGGTTCCATCTGATGGTGGTTCTATGTGATGGTGGTTCCATCTGATGGTGGTTCTATGTGATGGTGGTTCTATCTGATGGTGGTTCTATGTGATGGTGGTTCTATCTGATGGTGGTTCTATCTGATGGTGGTTCTATGTGATGGTGGTTCTATCTGATGGTGGTTCTATGTGATGGTGGTTCTATGTGATGGTGGTTCTATCTGATGGTGGTTCTATCTGATGGTGGTTCTATGTGATGGTGGTTCTATCTGATGGTGGTTCTATGTGATGGTGGTTCTATGTGATGGTGGTTCTATGTGATGGTGGTTCTATCTGATGGTGGTTCTATCTGATGGTGGTTCTATGTGATGGTGGTTCCATCTGATGGTGGTTCTATGTGATGGTGGTTCTCTCTGATGGTGGTTCTATGTGATGGTGGTTCTATGTGATGGTGGTTCTATCTGATGATGGTTCTATGTGATGGTGGTTCTATGTGATGGTGGTTGTATCTGATGGTGGTTCTATGTGATGGTGGTTCTATCTGATGATGGTTCTATGTGATGGTGGTTCTATGTGATGGTGGTTCTATCTGATGATGGTTCTATGTGATGGTGGTTCTATGTGATGGTGGTTCTATGTGATGGTGGTTCTATCTGATGATGGTTCTATGTGATGGTGGTTGTCCCTGCTGTACACCTGCTTACTACTCAGAATTATTTGAATCATTTCTGTTATTGGAATTGTATGTATCATCTTTTGCATTGTTCATTCTGTACATAAGTCATCCATTACAGTCGGTCCATCCCGGGAGAGGGATCCTCCTCTGACAATCGCACTAAAGCCTAGTTTATGCTTCTGCGTTTTCAGAGAGACACAAGGACGTGTGTCCCTCGCGTGTCCCTTGCGTGTCTTTTCACGTCTCCTTACGTGCGTCGACCCATTTTTCTCGACTAGCGTCTGAAACTTTGCAGCGTCCTGCAGCAGCAGGCTGTGATTGGTCTCTGACTACGTCCTTTAGAGTCTCACGTCTCCGTTTTCACAGCACGATACGGCCGTTATTAAAAGGAAGAACGTTTACGAGAGAACGGATCAGATTGAAGAGCTTTTAAATATGAGCGCTTGTACAAGCCGTCATTGGCGGACTATGAGGACGCCGGATGGCCTCTGATTCATGGAGGGAGATCTCCACAAACGAGGGGAACAAAGTCGTGGAGGAAAATACGGGACAAATGTGTCCTTGATGAAAAGCAGCAGTGTGGATGCACGGGGCAATAAAGTCTATGATACATAAATAAAGCAACCAGCGACTTCCACACACAAACACGTGACTCTCCAGGTCGTCTTCAACAAAACACGTGACTCCACCTGTTGTTCTGGAGGTGAATCGCTCTGCAACACACGCAGGACTTTACAACCAGGACGTGAGACCAGTGCGTCGACGCGTAAAGACGCAGAAACACGCGGCGGCCTTGAGGTTTCTAAAGCCCTCTGAGGCAAATCTGTAATTTACGATTTTGGGCTAAATAAAATAAAATAAAATGAATTGAATTGAATTGAAATCAACGTCATAGCATTTCCTGTCTGTGATACGGTGGTAAATGAACCTTACCCACAGACTGATCTGCATCTGATACGTCACTTTAGTTCTGTCTGTCATGTGATCCTTTGTATGACTGTTGAAGCACTTTGTGTGTTTGATGGAACGTGTGGAGGCTTTAAATAATGAATAATGAAAAATATTTCTCCCTGACTAATCTTGTGGCATTTTTTTGCTGAACATAAGTGCTCTTAAGAATTCATTTATTAACAATACAGATTAGGTTTCAGTTAAGGATGAGTTCAATACCATTAGAATCAAAATGTCAATAAAGTAATGACAATATTGTAAATCACTAATTTTGAATCAGTAGAATAATACCGTACAGTACAGCTATGATGGTATTCAATGTCATGTAGTCAACTGGAATGCATGCATGTAATACTTGATAGCACCTGATAATGACTGAGAGACATCATGAGAGAGTTACATTGAACTCACCAGGAGACTCCCAGAGGTGTGGACACCAACTTCACACCTTCACTGCTCTGTATAAACACCTGCAGGCAACCACTGTGCTCCAGTTCGCTGGTGGAGGCAACAGACGGACACTATGGGGGTCAGGGGGGTCAGGGGCCCTGTGGAGACCAGCGGCTCCCCAGCTGAGATGTTCTTTTTACCACAACACCCTTTCTTTATGAAATACTTTTGATTTGAACCTTTTGATCGGCGATGTCCTTCGTCCGTCCGGCGTGTCTTCATCTTGAACCCACCAACACTAAGGGACACTCACCACATGAAGCATAACTCTGTCGAGCTGTTAACATCCCATTTGATATACAACGTTGTACAACATGGGACTGTATATATATATATATATATATATATATATATATATAAATATATATATATATATTTTATGTTTGCAAATAACCGCTGAAGTGAATCAGTTCGTACAGAAATACTATCGGCCATAAAAGGTCTGAGAAACACTTCAAGAGAATTTCTTTCGTGTCTATTTGGAGTCAAGGGTGATCTGAAGATCACTGTGACCTCAGCAAACACGTGTTTTGGCCTTAACCCAAGAATGAATTAGCTGATGAACATCTGGAAGGGTGAAATGACACGTTGGACGGACGTAGAAGTGCAACTCGAGGCTGTAACTTTCTATTCTCTTGCTCCTCGTCATCGCGACGAGGAACAAAGCAGAGGACTCGTCCATCTCTCTTTGGTCCATGTCGTACTGCCCCCGAGCTCACTGTCCAACCCCTGTCCAGTTGTTAGCAGAGCTGTTGAGTTTCCCAAGCCCTCCACCCCCCAAATCCCCCCAGTGCCCTGGCTCGGGACACCATTTCCCATTGCTGCACTCCCCCAGGCCTGACTGCCTGCCTGCCGGCTCTTCTTGGCAGCCAAACAGCCAGGGGAGGATCAGGATGACCGGGCCGGCTGAGATAAGGACCACATGAAGTTCCCCACGTTACCTCACCCGATAAGGAAACGAGCAGAGACCGAGGGAGAGGCGGGGGAGAGGGAGGGAGGGTCAGACCGAAAGGACGTGGATGCGCAGAGAGGCGCTGGTTGTGTTTTCTTCTTCAGGGGACCCGCAGAGGCCCGGGGAGCTTTGGAGAGGAGCTTGGAGATGCTTCACAGTAGAATGTCGTTCAGCAGCATTTACATCTGCCCTGGACTCTGAGATGCTTTGAGAGGAGGATGACCTCAGGCTCTTCCGTCCTGTAGTGGAGGATATTTTCTCCATCCAGCCGATGAAAACAGGTCGCAAGTGAATTAAGGTCTTCAGGAGAGTCTGCTGCAGCGCCTCATCGCCAACCATGGCGCTCAACCCCCTGGAAGGTCTCATGGCGGTGGCGGCGAACCACCAGCTGGTCCCCGAGCCGCAGAGGCCGAAGCCCCCCCGTGCGGCCGGCGGGCCGGCATCCCCCCGCGGACGCAGGCTGAGCCCTCGCAGCAGCCGGGAGCCCAGGAAGTGGGTGAGTCTCAGGACTGAAGCGGGACCCGATGACCCAGCTGGACTTTAGTCCACTGGGTGTTAGTGAGCTCGTGTATTACCTCCCCTCGGAATACGCAGCTTGTCCCACTGCCCACATATATATACATAATATGTATATGTCCATATTTTATCAGTACTTTTTCATCATCATTGCATTTCTCGTCTCCCTTATATTTACGTCTGTTTGACATATTTTTACTCTATTTGCTTCATATTTCTCTTGTAATATCAATTCTACATTTAAATTACATTTTCTAATATTTTCTTTTATATTTAACTTAAATGTATCTTACGCCAAAGAAAATGTAACTCAATTGATTTGATCATTTCCAAGCTTTTATCTCGATATGTGGGAGAAATTGGTGGATTGTGCTCGACAGAAACCATAAAATGGATTTGATTTTGCTAAATATGTTCGTGCTACTAAATAATCATCTCCGTCCTAAGACGATGAAGCTGGCGATGAGTGAAACATTAACTGATAATGTTCTAAATGTACACATCACACATACACACAACATACAGGGCATTGGGAAGTCATATTGTAAAATGAAAATGAATGAAAGTAATTTTAAAACATTTTAAAATCCCTCCAATTCATTTAATGTCTCAAGATCTTCCTTCTTCCACTTCCACACAATCCGATCCCGTCTGATCAAATGTGGTTCAGGCTGTGATCACGTGCTCCCCTGCAGGTGCAGTCGGTGTGTGCGGCTGGTTGTGAGTCGGCGGCCCCGTGCAGACCCCTGAGGGGTCACCACTCCCCCGAGAACGCCGCGCGAGAGAGGAGCCGCGTGCGCAACCTGCGACAGGCCTTCCACAGCCTGCAGGTACGAGGTCCCGCCCCGTCGCCACAACCACACCCATCACCGCTGGAGGCTTCACACACAGGACATCGTCACCCCGAACACATCGAGCTTTAAAGTCAAATGTCAGCTTTTCAAATTTCTGCAAACTGCAGCCACTGTTCTGTGAGGATTATCGTCACGTATCAAGAGCTACACTTGCCTCAGATTCCAAAATACTGTGGAAAAATCCCATTGGCTTTTTGTAGAGGAAACCAACCAAATAGTTTTTAGGATGTTGAAAACAAAACATTATTTTTTCTAACTTATAATAGTTATAGGATAAGAGAATTCTTTAATGCTCGTTGGGAGGAAAACCTGAATGTGTCCCACTGACAGTAGAAGGACAAATGACTCATCATCTCGTCTCGTATCAAACAGCGGTTTCCTGTTGTCGGGCAGCACAGAGCTTCATAGTTTCTGGGTTGATGGAGACGCACGCGTCCTCCCTCAGGAGGAAGCGTGCGTTTGAAACGACACATGAACGAAGCCTCTGCTGCTGATGTCATCATCAACAGTCTTAAAATAAACTCCTCCAACAGATGATATTTACACTTTGGAGTCAACCTTCGGTCGGTCAGAAGAGACGCAATGCATTTTGGGAAGTGTGAGTGTGTTCAGTGAGTTCTGCCAATGCGACGCGTCTCACAAACACAGGTTGCGGGTTGGAATCCTTCAGGTCGCCACCAGCTAACAAGTGTTTTCTGATCAGGTCCTTTAGTCCAGCCGGTCAGTGTGAAGTGTTGAAGCGAGCTTGTCCGTCCTGCTCCCTCAGGCCGCTCTGCCCTCCGTCCCACCAGACACCAAGCTGTCCAAGCTGGACGTGCTGGTCCTGGCGACGAACTACATCGCTCACCTGACCGAGACGTTGGAACAGGGAGCGACGCTGGCCGAGCGCGCCCCCCCCCCCAGGCCGGGGGGATACCTGCACCCCGTTAAGGTGAGGACAGGGACCCGGGACACACGGCCGTCCTCAGCGCAGGAGGACACTGACTGGCAGACATTAGCAGGCCGCGAGCAGCTGGACGTGATTAGCAGCGTAGCTGCTGAACAATTCTTCATTTGACTTATAGAACTGCTCCGTCTCTCTTCTGCTATCTGGTTTGCACGTCAACGTGCTGCTGTAGACGGTTATCTGGTCTTCTGTCTCGTCTGTCCTAACTAGCACGTGCTTGTTCTCGGGGCAACAGGAAATGGGGGAAAAGGTCGGGGTCAAGGGTTAAAGTTCCTCTTCTTTTCCCCTGGATTAAAGGGGGGGTTGAAGTTCACAGCGTGCGACACAATGATTGTCCGTCTGTGGTGTGGACGCCGTCCCAGGTGGGACAGCATTGACCGGATGGACCGTGGACATCTCGTCCACGACGTCCCACCGTGTTTGTCGACCGGCTTGAGGATTCACCTCATATCGCTAATCCCATTAGCATGCAGAGCTAACCGGCGCGCTGTCTCTGTCCTCAGAAGTGGCCCATGCGCTCGCTGCTCTACTGCGGCAGCGTGGGAGAGCTGCTGTCAGGGGCCCAAGCCAATCAGATGCCCCCACCTGGAAGGGACGTGGCCCCCACCCTGGAAGCAGAGAAGGAGTGATGGAGCACGGGGCTCCACTTGTACCACGGACAGCAGAAGAAACGTTCTCGTCTGCAGACACTGAAACAACTGAAGCGAATTCTGTAAATCTGCTGTTTTCTGTTCAAACACCACATGATGGTAATAACAGTTTGTTGTATATTTCTGCAAAGGCCTTGGCCTGGTTTTTATGCCACACACACACACACACACACAGCAGACAGGTTCAGATTTACTCTTGTTGAAAACATTCCATCATTATATGAACTTCAGACAGGAACAGATTTAATGCGAGGAAATGAAAAAGCTGCTTCAGATGACACGACGCCACAAATCAGCGCGCGAGGAGCTTCAGCCACTATCTTGATTTAGAGGTCGTACAGTGTTTTATTTTTCCACATATTACTTTTGCTGTAAGGAAGAGATGTTTCTTGTGAGGTTGATGCCTTTTTATGTAGCTGTTTGTGAAGCCAGTGTGTGTGTGTGTGTGCGTGTGCGTGTGTGTGTGTGCGTGTGCGTGTGTGCGTGTGTGTGGGGGAGTGAGGGTGGACGGACAGGCGGACAGTGAGGGAGGGATTGTTGTGGGAACACAGCTGCTGTCTGATGACTCGGTATCTCTGCAGTAATGACCACTTAGTTCTCATTACATCCACAATGGAACCTTGTACTTTGGAGCAAAGCGGCGTGCAGCAGCAGCCCGAGTGCGTTCGCCGCCGCGCCACCAACACCCAACGTTTACTACTAGCAAGTGATATAGAATTCTAGTTTTCATGTGGCTCCACGTTATGAATAAGCACCAAGAGGTTTTACAGTTAGTGAATAACACAAAGTATTGCATGTTATAGAATACTACAGTACGTCACATTAAAGTAGATAAAGATGTCGAACTGAAACAGTTATATATATATAACTGACTAACTATATAACTTACTATTACTACTAGTTTCATCTTCGCTGCATGAATACGCAGTAATTACACAAGCGAGAGCTCAGAGCTGAAATCAGTCCAATAAGTCTTGTAGATCCTCTCCTCCTGCAACAAGATGGGCGCCGCTCCACAAGCAGCAGGCCGGCGTTCAAGGCTACTTCTATAAATCTGTCCAGAGGCGGCGGCGTGCAGCCATGACTCATGTGGAGCTGCGAGGGTCAAAGAAGGACTGCAGAAGCTCCTCACGGCACGAAGAAGCAACGGAAACACAAATGAAAACCAAGCAGCTGTTCTATTAATCCTCAATAAAGTGCTTTCAGGGCTTCAGTCGCATCCTGTCCAGAGTCCATGTTTCCTCTGCGAACACTTGAGCTCCAACTGCGTAGTCGGCCACTTCCAGACTTTCGTAGCTAAACTGATTAGAAAGAGAAACACTGCATGAGATGAATACTTTATCTTAACCTCTCAATGCAAAGAAAAGGCCTTTGATTGAGAGTATCGCATGCATCACGTCTCTGGCTGCAGGCCGCGTGTCACTGCTTCCCTGCAGACGTGTTCCTGCCACTGGAGGAGCTTGAAGACGGCGTGTGATGGGAGACAATCAGCATACGCGTCTCCTGCTCTTTACGGATGATTACAGGTCGGAGCTGTGAGGACGAGTCCCCCCTCTGGTCCAGAGAAGAGACTGAAATAACTAATCATTGGTCCCCTTTTATTGCCATGCGCTGCAGGGACACCCTACTAAGACAGACATCGCTCACCTGTCAGTCACAGTAAGCCCGCCCTAAAGCCCCTCTGCGTTATGGTCGGTTTGAAACTACAGATCAGACCAACGAGAAGCCGCTTCAGTCTCCAGCGTGAAGTAAAATCACAGCCCCCCTGTGCCCCCCCAGCTGTGCCTCTCATTATGTCAGTCATGACACGGCAGAGTGTATTAAGGACAAAGCTACATATTCATACTGGAAAAATGAGAAGCCATAAACAATCATACACAGTACAATATAGTATTTTCAAAAACGGGTCACAAATCCATGTTTAACACCACAGAATGAAATTAGAACAGCTGAAATGTTCTGGTTCTTAATGGCAGAAAAAGGTCACATCTTTCAGACAACAGTAGTTTAACAAAGAAATAAGATGTTTTCCTGTTTTACAACACGAGCAAACACAAAAATGGTATTTGTCAAATATCTTTAATGGCATCTCAATTCAAGTACATCTAATTTATGAAATCTAATCTTCATAGATTCAAAGTTCAACAGTGAAACATATCAATAGATTTAAAATAGAGCGACGTGTGCTGACGGATCGATTCTTTAACCAGGAGACAAAACGAAGACGCCACAAACTGAAGGCACAGACGAAGCACAGCGGGCGGCGCCACGCTTCCTTTTTTGGAATGCTAACAGGAAGAATTCTTGTCGTATCGTAAATATTGTTTAAAAAACAATATTTATCGTTGCTGGAAATGACGACGTGCCAAACCACGTGCACGAGTTACTGCGAGCGGATTGGCTGTTCATCGGCCCCCAAACGGAACGAGGAAGTCAAAGTACTTCAACAGCCAACTATGTTCCTTCCCGTTATAAAGAGGGGGGTCGATGTGTGGATCACCACACACGTCAAGTCATTTCAAGTATGAAGTAAATACCTGATTGTGTGATGCAGCACTAATAAAATGGTCTTTTTCAAGGACGGGACGTCCCACAAAAGGAAACACTTCATGGTTCTTGCATATAGAATTCCACATTTCAACACATGCAATGTGGCTTTTTGTGAATTTACACAAAAAATATACAAATATCTCAAATATAAATTCCGTTGGTAGAAAAAGAAAAGAATCAAAATATAAAAATAATGCTATTCTATATGCTTTGGATGAATCGAGGTATCTCAGCGCTGAATGGTTTGAAAGGGCGGTCCGGTGGTCTGGGGGGTCCAATGTCCTTCACAAGTAACTCACAATACATTCTGCTCTCGCTCTTCTATGTTGGACTCTGAGTGTGAAGGCGGAAACACAAACGATACACAACGTCACTTAAAAAGTCTCTAGAAAAAGGTTTGGTTAGTTTTAAATGTACTAAAATGACGTTTTATTAACTAAAAGTGCTGCAATATTACTGAGAACATTTACTCAGGTATCATTTTTAGGCTTACAGCCTATTTCACTGAAGTATTTTCTTTTTATGGGGATTTATGCTTCTAGAAATATTTGTCTCTCTCATCATTTATTTGACACTTTGAGTTACTAGTTACTAGTTACTAGTTAGGCCAAGCTTGACCTTCTACTCCACCAATAAACAGTATCCACTAATACTCGTGGTGCCGTGATGGGGAGCAGCTCTGTGCGTTTAGGGGTCAACTCGGATTTAAATGACGTGGTGAGGCAGCACATACGCACCAACGGCTGCGTACACACGCACACGCACCAACGGCTGCGTGCACACGCACCAACGGCTGCGTGCACACGCACCAACGGCTGCGTACACACGCACCAACGGCTGCGTGCACACGTACCAACGGCTGCGTACACACGTACCAACGGCTGCGTACACACGCACACGCACCAACGGTTGCGTACACACGCACACGTACCAGCGGTTGCGTACACACGCACACGCACCATCGGCTGCGTACACACGCACACGCACCAACGGTTGCGTACACACGCACACGTACCAGCGGTTGCGTACACACGCACACGTACCAGCGGTTGCGTACACACGCACACGTACCAGCGGTTGCGTACACACGCGTACATACGTACCAACGGCTGCGTACACACGCACACGCACCAACGGCTGCGTACACACGCACACGTACCAGCGGTTGCGTGCACACGCACCAACGGCTGCGTACACACGCACACGCACCAACGGCTGCGTACACGTCGCTGTGTGGAGGAACCAAGAGGAGCGAGATCCAACGAGGATCCGCTCACGGACACAGCGGCTACCAACGAAGCCCCCCAGACCCCGAACATGACGTCATGCAGGAGGCCCCCCCCCCCCACACACACCTCTGCTTCCTACACAAGGACAATGGGTGACTTCAAATGCCAAAATGGGGGATGGTCAAGAATTCTGTGATTCCAAAAAACAGACCAACTACAACAATATTCAAACAGACACACAAATCAACAACACAGTGGCACTGACAGCAACGTGGATTAGGAAGGGAAATGAATCCTATCTAGCAGTAAATAAATAGGGGAAGTTCCTGCCTAGCGGAGCGTAGTTCAGGCAGACAGTTTACCTCTGAAACGGATGGACTTAGTGTTCATTCTCCAACATGCTTCCACAGCAGTACGTCGCCAGGCAACTGGAGGAGATACGACTAAAAAGACCATTTGGAAAACATAAGCTCTAAAATCGTATTTGCTCGCTGTAAACTATTGAAGTTGGTATTCGTCCCCCAAAGAGGACGCATGCAGAGACAACCCTCCCCGTACACTTTGTCTGTGCTCATGTGAACACAGAACAGAACACACATTGTAGACATCTGGAAGGCTGACACCATTAGTCTTTTTCTCCTGGTTTACAAACATTTGGTTTACAACATTTACATCTTGTATCTTTTAAGGACTACCTGATTATTCTCATTTTGCCGGCTAATGTGTGGATCCCGACCAGCGGAACTTCTCATTGTGCACACATCTGGACCAGAGCTCCACTGACTCCTTCCTTCTCTGCCTGCTCCCATGTGGACATCCAGTGCAGCGTCCCGGGTTGGACAGGTACCAACAAAACACCGTGTGGCCGATAACGTCCATCCACATTTACTCAACAGATTACGACATTGTGAAATAAAAACATCCAAACTAGCTGCTGCAGACCGCCGTGCTCCACGAGCCCTGGAGGAACGGCAGCAGCTGGGAGGTGCTTTCTAAGTAGGAGGAGACGGGATCAGAAGACGGTCTCCTCGACCGTCTGACCCGTCAGTTTGCACGAGGGTCGAGGCGTCCTCGGTTCCACGTCCTCCTCCTCCGTCTGCGCTCGGTCGCTCTCCATCTCTTTGTCCTCGGTGACCGTGTCCTCCTTGCAGAGAGCCGCTCCGTTGCCGTCTTTCCTGGCCATCTGATACGGCTGCGCGGTGGTATCTTTGGACTGGTCAACAAGGGGGGTCATTACAATGTGCTCCAACCAAAGAGACACGAGGACGCGTGCGAGCGGGAGGTCACCTCGTGAGGCGTGGACAGAGGAGTGACGCAGCAGAGCTTCTCCCTGTAGCGCTCGGGCAGGAAGAAGAGCAGCGTGCCCAGGACAGGGAACACCGTGCCGGGGGTCAGATCCTTCTCCTTCATGGGTCCTGGTAACACAGACGCATCAGTTTGATAGGACATTTCTTTTTAACAGCACTAACAGCCGTAACACTTTTTGATTTGATGCATTTTATTTAGTTTTAGATGGGCAGCAGGTGAAAGAGGACTCTGGCGGGGGGGTTAGTGGCTTTTAACGTGTCTCTGTGGGCGTACCTGTCAGGAGGCTGACGAGCAGTCCCACCACCACCACCACGGTGGAGTTGTGAGCGCTGTACCACATGTAGGACAACGAGTAGAGCGCCTGCACACCCGACGGCCTGAAGGGGAGGGAGGGGTTAAGACCATCTGCAGCCACCCTGGAGCGTTGGGTCTTCAGGGTTCCCAGGCCTTACCTCAGCTTGGGTGTGGTGGCGTTGACCGTAGTCATCACAGCGGTGGTCATGTTGTCAAACAGCGGCAGAGCGGTGGTGTTGAGCGGGATGGAATCGGACATACGCATCACAAAGCTCCCGATGCCGATCCAGAAGGCCATGGCCAGACCGGCTACCAACCCGACCACGGCACCCTGAGCAAGGACAGGCACCTCGACTCAACAACGGGGGACAACACGTGGACACGAATAAAACAACACTCACCGTAGAGTTTGCCCAGGGAAAGAACATCCCCAGACAGAAGAGGCCGAGCAGAGGACCGCCCACCATCCCGAAGATGCTGAAGGCTGCCTGAGGGAAACAGGACAAAACATCCTGCTTACAACCGGCACTCGCGCCATTTAACACACAGAGCATGAGGACAGTGTGTTTACCTGCAGCACTGATCCCATTATAGAGGCGAGGTAGGCCATGGCCAGACACACCAGGCCATAGACCAACGCTGGGGGGCAAATAGTCAGTGGTTACACACAGAACATGAGCCCAGATGAGGAACAACACGAGGCTTATATGGTGACGACGGGGGAAATGGTTTAGTTCAACTTGTTGACATTCCTCCTGAGCCAAATTCAACAAAAGAAATGAACGCAATATTGTTTGGTCAAGTTGTTGACCTGTGTCTCCCAATGCTGTCTTACCAAGTCCCTTAGACAGCAGCGTCGCTTTAGCCTCAGTCATGTTTGGAAAATGAGGTTTAATCAGGTCCTCCATGGTTACCGTCGCTAGGGAGTTAAAAGCTGATGAGATGGTGCTGGAGGGAGAACAAAGAAGAATCCAATCACACGTTACACAGCAGACGATTCTTTTCTTACAAATCGACTCTCCTACCTGAGAGCTCCACTGAAGAGACACGCCACAAACAGTCCTGCAAGCCCGGGCAGATCCTTAAAGACGTCCATCACAAAATACAGCACCATCTGCACAAAGGAAGTCAATGTTAGCCCAAACCCCCAGAGCCGAGAGACGCATACAACACAATGACCACCAAGGCAACGTGACGTCCACCTGGTCATTAGTTTTAACGTAGCCTTTGTCCAGTGGGCTGTCCTCTCCGTAGCGAGCAAACATGACCAGACCCATCAGGCAACCCAAACACAAGACGATCTGCTGGCACGGGAACACCACGTAGCAGGACCTGGACGACAGACGGCAACAGCGTCAACGGCGGAGACAACATGGAAGATGACAGGACAAACAAAACCAATGAACAACTAGGAATAAACAGGAGTGCATCAAGTTCAACAAGGTTCTACTTCTCTCCAAAAGGGACTCACATGACGGCCTCTCTCTCCGTACGAGAACTGAGGTACCTCTGGACCTGGGCCTGGTTGACCCCGTACAGGGCCAGCATCAGGAAGACTCCGCCCACACCCAGCGTCCAGAAGGTGTGGCGCTCCAGAGGGTCGGGGTTCAGGCTGCAGGCGCAAAGCGTGAGTACAGTTTAATCAGCCGCCACCTTCCTGCGCTGCGGCGGTCATGAGGAAGACCTCATTGAACCACTCACTCAAGTCCAGAAATGCGGCTGCCATTCACTGCTTTCCTCCACACCTCCGCCATGCCCCCTGCCTGACTGGCTCCCACCACGATGACCGCCAGCTGGCCCGCAAACATCACCACCGTCTGAAACACGTCGGTCCAGATCACCGCCTTCAGACCGCCCTGCGACACGCAATTATCGACAAACGCTATCAGCAAAGATGTGCCGTAGTAAGAGGCTCAACATACTGACAGCAAATGGAATATTACATTGATGACCCTAAAATGACCAGAAGAGGAAGCTACACTGCCTGGCCAAAGGAAAAGTCGCACACTAATATTTGCTTGGAGCGCCTTTAGCTTCGCTGTAGCTTCTGCAATGACACAGAACTGGAAAGAGTGCAGGTGGAGGTTTTGGACAAAATGATGTGGTCAACTAGAAGGTCAACGTAGTCATTGATGGAAAAGGAAGGGACTGACCAGAGCAGTATATAGAGTGCACACCAACCCCATGGCCAGCACCGCCCCCCACAGGTCAAAACCCGTCACTGCAAAAGAACCAAAGCACGGGTTACTCGTCTTCTGTCTACACAATAGCAGCAACCTGAGATCATAAAACACAACGGGAGAAAACACAAAGTCGTACCTGCATTGAGTGCCAGGGCCGGGGCGTACAGGACCACCCCCATGTAGATGACCTGCAGGGGAGGAGTACAATAAACAACAGGGCAGAAGAGGAAGAAGCAGTATCAGAGGACACCTGCTCAGCATCAAGCAGAGGTTCCATTGGCCAGATCCAACTGATCATGAAATTGTTTGGAGAATGTGAATTTTTATTGGTTATCTTTGGTAATAACAATTCATGACTTGACTAAACGCTGTCAGTGCTTTTATTGGAGAGGAAACAGACCAAAAAGCCATAAGACACTTTACAAGGGTCAATGGGACATCCTCAGGGCCAAAGTTTTACTCAGGCTGCAATATAATCAGCCAATGATCGTAAGATAAAAAGCAAGTGGGGCAAATGGTTCGTCTTCCCCTCTTAACTGAACTTTTTACTCCTGCTGAACTAAATTGGAATTTGTTATTAACTTCTTAAACAGTTGTTCTTTGTTAAGCAATAGTTTTTGAAGAAGTATCTGTTTTTGTGATGGTGATGGTAGTGATTTGATCACAGTAGCACCAATCAGGTGCCTGATTCCTGCACACACAAGACGGCCACGACTAAGGCCCAGAGAAAGTATGACGCAGGCAAAGATACCATCTGGAAGATGAAGGTCACCGTCCCACATATGCGAACCGTCTTGTTGAAGCGCAGCTCCAGATACTGTCGAGGGGAGAGAAAGCCAAAGGAAAAACAGAATATAATCGGAGAGTCACTGAGTGAAACACACTCGCTTATTCTCAGGATCAGAGCTGCTGGTTTACACCCACATTGTCTAAACGTTTCATTGGCTGAGCGAGTCAAAGGTTTCCTAAAAATAAATTAGGTGCACATTAAAAGTACCTCTGAGAGTATCTGATAGCGTAACTGCAACATGGTGGGGTACGACGTCATTAACCCGAGGAAGGGTCACATTTACTACTTAGGGTGCTTGTTATTGAATTGCTCCTTTTTCTTTTGACTAGACATTGGGTAACTTTGTAAGTTGGTAGCAGGTATCTCAGAGCGAGCAATGAAACAGAATATAAAGCTGCAGTAGAAGCCTTAAACCCTGCTTCACTACAGAAACCTCTAACGCCTTAAGGAAGCCCCTACATGCAGCACCACGTGTACCTCGTAGGCGCTGGACAGCCTCAGTCGGTAGAGGATTGGTATGAAGACGTGGGCCGGGATGAGCAGGCCCAGGAAGTAGGAGCAGCCCAGGAACCAGTACTGAGTCCCAAAGGTGTACACCTCAGAGGGGGCGCCCAGGATGGCCACGGCCGACTGGAAGGTGGCCAGCAGGGACAGAGACACGGGCAGGCAGCTCATGGAGCGATCAGCCATCAGGAACTCCTACGACAGACAGTTCTCCGGTTCAAAGCAGGGACAGTGGGCGGGCAGGGGGGGAGGCGCCTGGAGCCTACCTGTGTGGTGCGCTGGCGCCCCCCGGAGAAGGCGTAGAAGAGGCCGATGCCGGTCGAGGCCACCAACAGCAAGGCAAAGATGATGTAGTCCACCGTGGTGAAGTGCATGAGGACGACGTTCCCCATGATGACAGCGGAGGTGGTGATCACCACGTCAGAGGAAGCCCCTCACCCATAGGGGGGGGTCGCCGAGAGCTGGAAGACGAAGGACAAGTGAGGCGGTGGTTCGAGAGTGGGCTTCACCCGCCCAGAGCTGGGGGGCGGCGGATCATCGTCCCTCTCAGAGAAATAAGGGACCTTCTTTCTGCAGTCAGTTGTGTAACAGACAAGTTCAGAGACACCAGAGTCACCTACTTCCTTTTATCCCCCCAATTTTATTATCACTGAACCAGTAATAAAAGCTACTTCAAGAGCGTTAAATGCCCCCCGGCTGAATCACAGCCTGTAGGCCGAGGAGGAAGACAAAGATCTCACAGGTAAACTGACCCCTTTCACTTAATACCAGTCAGTGCGTCAATAGTCCTACGATCCACAACAAGAACGATACCACACACACAGAAGGACTTACTGGAACTACGGAGACCACGCTGCTGCTGCTTGGTCGACGCTGGCTGCTCTGCTCACTGGAGGACAGTAACAACACGTCTTATCAGGATCACAGTAAAAAGGAAGGGGGAGAAACACACAAGAAAAGCACAGCTTGTGCAATGTTTTCCCCGCCCCAAAAACAGCGGCTTCTTCTCCGTTGGGTACGGATCATTTCAAGCAAACAAAACCCAATCCCGCTTTATGTTTTCACAAGAGGTCCGTGTTCTCCTGTAGTTGTCATTTCAGGGGGGGGGGTAGACGGATCTGCTTCCCCCACACAAGGCCATCTTCTCTTTCCCAGAGCGTTGTTGGGTTGAGGACTCCAACACTTGTGAGTGGAGTGGTCTCGCCCGGCAGAAGAGCCACGTTTCTTCTCCAGGTCAGGATTTACACCATGGGGCGAAATGACAAGAATGTTTGTTTAATCAAATGAAAGATGTCCTGTAAGTAAAGGTGTATTAACACCTGCATCCTCTACTGACTTCAGGGGGCCACGCTGCTTGTATGAGAAAAGGACCACCTCTCTTGGTTTATGTTCTCCACGTTCATGTGATCTTCAATGCAGCAAGATGTTCATTTAGTCAATTATGGTTTATAGACAAGTAGACCACAACTCCTTGTGTAATTTAGGGTGGGCTTACTGTGATTGACAGCTTGCTACCAGCCTTTTGGGGAGCTGTTTAGTTATATAACTAGGTATAGACCTCTTCAATAGGAAAGTTAAACCAGAATTTCGTCTGTTGTGATTAGCGCTAAATGAAATGTACCTGACCTACGTCGCTCCTCAGCATCTCCAAAGAAGGGAACTTCTTTCCCTTGGATGCAAAGACCAACGTGATGAAAGTGGGATTCTGGTCAAACATTAGCTCTCTGTGCCGTCTGATCAGGCCCACGAGAAGGACCTCGTTAAATCCCTTATGACGGCTAATCGACCACAACCTGACAGGTTGGGAACAGAATCCGGTTAAAACTGGTTCCTCTCAAAAGCACCCACTGCAGGAATGTTTAACTCTCGAACTAGATGTTGGTGCCAGCAGGTTCGCTAAATGTGTCACTTCGCACAAGCTATGCACTTAAATTTAAGGCACGGCGAGAGAGACTTTGCTTCTGCTGAGCGTTACGGGATCCGAACCAACGGCCCTTTGTTGCAAACCTCTGCAGTTTGCATGTCGTATTAAATACCAAGCTTCTTCTGCTGGTCCGACGAGGGGATTGAAAATGTGCGGCCTGCTTTCACCTTTCCCGCTCTGACTGGTATGGACTAAACAAGCCTCCACGCTCTGCCAAAACATACCAATTGTCAAATTACGCACCACCAAGGTCTGTGGTGTGAAAACAGCAGCATTTATTACTGATATTCTCCGTTCTTCTCTCATTATCTGTTCTATTAGAAGTCTACCGTAATCAATATTGGCGCCAGCATGTTTTAATGGATGTCAGTCTTATTTTGGTGAAAGAGACAAAGGAGTATTGTTCTTATTCATCAGCCTTTGAGCAATGCATCCTGGTCCTGCAGCAGGAGAGATCTGCATCATCACCAATGCACTGGGTGATTTATTATTCAGTGGACTACACTGGATCCACCAACAGCACTGATTGGGTAGCTAGGTCACATGTGAAGGCCGTTTCCATAGTACGCCACAACGACAAAGTGGCACCTAAACGTGTACAGTTGGATTGTAAAGATATATCTAATAGGACACTTGTATGTCTTGCTGCAAAAGACAGCACAAGAATGGACACAACAAAAGGAACATTGTCCAATCGTCACAACGCTGCCACATCGCTCACATCCAACAGTAACATCCGTGTTCAGGCTGCGTTCCGGGCTCGTTTTGGGTGGTGAGGGGGAGTCACAAGCCTCGCAAATTCACTCAAGGAGGTCAGGGAGGCTGCGGTTGCCAGGCAACACAGGAACAATGATGGCGCTGAGGCGACGCTCCGGTTAGAGAGTGAATGGCAGAACAGAAGACCTGATTCTGTCTGTCTGATTGGGGGGTGCAGGTGGAGCATGTGGAGGTTTGTAGCTGTACCGGTCAGCCTGCTGAAGGAGAACCGGGCTTCGTATTATGCTCATCAACGGGCCTGAAAGCAGGCCGCACATTTTCATTCCCCTCGTTGGACCAGCAGTAGGACCGTGGTATTTAATATACTCAACGTGAATGTCAACCGGGATTAAAACGAGATAATTACTACCAGAAGTCTTGTTATCGTCCTTGGAAGTAAGATACAGATATCAGTCTCATTTTGCATCAGTCAGGGTGCCTTTTTAAAACGAAAACATTCATCTCAATCCAAGGTTAGACAGAGTCCTTTTAGCGCCAAGCATCCGGTGAGCAAATTAGAAAAACACTGAGCGTTGCCCTTGGAAAAGCCCCAGAAAAGGTGAGAAAAATGGTTCTGACGATGTGTGCATCGTCCTGGAGGCGACACAGCAGACAGGGCTGTACGTACGAGATGCTGTCTCCAATACCACTCCGCTGGCCAACATCTCCGCCAGTTGCAGGCTGATGACACCGTGTGATCAGCAGCCTGCAGAAGGTGCCGTGGTTCCACGGAGCAGATAACAGGCCAGATGATCTGGGGAACACGTAGAACCCTTCAAGTGGATCTGTGTGCCGGGGTCAGTGGATTGGATCACTAGCGACCTACAGTGGTGTTAAAATACCTGCCTTCTATTCAACGTGACCATGCGCCTGTAAATATATTGGTCATCTCATCTTTATTATCAGGACAACATCCTTAAGACGTACACAGCATTCTACTAGAAACACTGCTTCCTTTTGTACATTCAGTGTCAAAGCCCAGGAACCAGGAGGCCAGCAGCAGACTTCACAGACTGAGGAACAAAAGAGTCCAGTAGAAATCAGACATTCTGACCACTAAGAATGCGATTATGCACATCTGAACTTAAAGACAGCCAATACATATCAAGGGCAAAGGTCATTTGTCCTCTGAAGTCAACGTGGCTACCTGTCAGGCACGTGCACAGGTAGACCCCTACTGGTGCTCAGGCACCTGCCCTTTTGCCCTGGATTTGTTATTGTGGTAAACTATTAGTGTAACGCTGCCAATGCTTAAACTGTAAAAGAAAATATGTGTGTGTGTTGTCGGCTTTATAGATTCTGTAAATCCCTGTGGATTATTATGCACAACATTGTTTATCTCATTTACAAAATGTGCAGCATAATGCCAAGAAAAGAGACTCCAAAAGCAGAAGGAATATATCCTGTGTTTTTTATTTTGGCGATGGGTGCTCCTCTGTTTTGGTTTGAGCACCAGCCCCCCAAAATGTGTGTGCACGTGGTCTGCTACCCGCTGCTTCTTTTCACTGGGGGAAGTAATAGAAATCTTAAATGTAGTTTTAACTAGTAAATGTTATTTGGCGTTGTAATTGCAGGCAGGAGTGGGTGAATTAAATGTTCAAACTTTGACCCAAGTGTTTAACCCACAAGCGTCCGCGCCAAACCAGATTCACGAGACATCCGTGGTGTGCAGATGACATGCTGCACGCCACGGACTGATGTCTGCATTGTCCATTATGAAGGCGCAGTGAACATGTTGGAGATCAGCTCCTCACTGTTAAAAAATCTTAGATTCTAATGTGCTTTACAGTTTTCAAGCTGCTCCACCAACTGACAAGCAGCCAGCGATGAATATGCAGAAATAAATGTCAGACATCCATGTTGTACCTTTAAAAACACCTCCACAGCAGCGTGAGGCGCTAGAAGGACTCTTAACCAATCACAGAGCTCCATTTGCTGAGCGACTCACCTCACTGGTGCTGATCAGAAGAACAACATACATATGTCATATTATATGACATATGTCATATATGTCATATATAACATATATGTTATTGATGGCGACCATAAAGAAACTCTGCCGCTGACTGTTTGTATTGAGCCACACAATCAAATAAAGACACGGTGTCCACGCACTCACGTTATTATCGCGCGCGCGGTGGTGATGTTATTTGTATGTCCTCTGGCGTCCCGCGGCGCGGACACACGGGCCCGCGCGCTGCGTGCACAACGCTGTAAGAACGCGCACGGAGAGCGCGACCCGCTGATTCGTCCCCACGCGTCATTCATTGACAGCTGCGCGAGCGAGCCGGAAACCTCAGCACGTGGCTCGTGATCACGGACCACTACGGCCGCCAAGAAGCGGCACGCGAGCCCGCCGCTCAGCTCAGCTGAGCGCACCTCGTGTTTGCCCAATGCAAACTTTACTCTGCCGGCGCGTGAGACTTCCCGGCATGCTCCGGGTCTTCGGTGACAACGACGCGCGCACGTCATTCGCGTGCGTACGAGCCCCGATCGGAGCGGAACGCGGTTTTTACCTTTCGGCCGGTTGACGTCTCCGGGACGCTGCGGGGCTCCGCTCCGGTCGCCGCTGCGCGTGAGCGGCGTTTGTGGGGTCAGGCGGTGACGGACCGCCCCCTCTCCTTGACACTGGCTGGTGCGTTCAGGGGCTCTTCGTAAACCACGGGTTCAGCACAGTTAAAACGAATTTGTGCCAACAGATGTGCAGCAGGGTTTCAATAGTTACGGTAGAAAGCCGTATTCCATTTGATACATTTTTACCGCCACTATACATCAGGTTTCCCGGTCACTGTCGTGCATAGATTTCCCTTTTCATTTAATCATTTCACACAACCGTTAACGCACATTTCTCAAAATCGACGGCAGTTTCGTCCTTTCCGACTTATTTGAAGGCATCTCAACTGGTGCTCTGGTAGTGCGAAATATGTCGCATCCCATTGATCGGTGGGACATTTAATTGCCCTGTCGTGTAACACTGCGCTCTAGCTACATGTACGTGTGTACACACACACACACACACACACACACACAGGAGTTTATGACGTCATCGTAGTAATTAATCACCATGGCAATCGTCGCTGCAATGGCAGTGTGCGTCACTCAGGCCGCACAACAAAATCACGGGAGCCTCGTTTCTTACCGGTTTCTCTCCAACGAGCTCGCTCACATCGTCCGCCGCGTGCCCCCGGTCAGTGGCGCGCGCACACCCGCACCGGGTTGAGAGGGACACGCCGGTGTGTGTAAGAAGCGTCCCGGGAGACATCCTCCAGTTCTCCCTGTGCGCAGTCCGTGGACGCGCAGCTGCATAGGTCTCCCCCATCTCCTCCCCCCCACCTCCCCCCGACTGGTGACTCATGCGTCGCTTTGAATCAACAGTAGCAGCAGCCTAGCGTGGTCTGTGTGACCTCTATTCAGGATCAATCCATCACCTAACGGCACACGGTGGCAGCGCGGGGTCAAAGGGCGCATTCCTTGCGCAGGGGGTCTTGTGATTGGACAACACAAATATCTGTGTTTTGAACTGTTCACTTCTGTATTCTAGTAATAAATACTTTTATCCACTAACTTCCACCACAGAAACCAGTCACAGTGCTTTGACATTTTGCATTAAAAGAAAATGGTTGCTGTAATTGTACTTTCTTTGTTTTTTATTGTAAAAACGTGAACAATAGATCATGAATCTCTGTTGAACTGAATACTACTAAAGTAGTGGATGAATTAGCGGGGGGCTTAAATTCTTTCACTGTCCCATTGATCCGCTCCTCTGACAAACTGAGGAATCAAACAGGCACAAGTAAAAAGAAACATGTACATTTATACATTTCACCTGCTCACCTTCAGTATTTGGTGAGAAAGACAGCCTCTGTACAAATGGTCACTTTACAAAGGATTCAAACTATCAAACAGCTTCCCTCACGCTGTAGTCACGGCAACAACATTTAGCTTTTCAGGTCCTTCTGCTCCCAGCTTGTAACCACAACAATGTGTGTAAAGATGTATGAATATTAGACGTGAAGCCGGGATTCTCTCTCTCAAAGGCCTCATCAAAAAGCTCATATTTGGTCGTTGCCACCAGAGGAAAAGCCTCCTCAGTGTCCGTCCTCGCTTGCCCCCCCCTCAGTTCAGCAGCCGGATGATGGAGTTAATGTCCGTGCTGCGGAATCCAGGGTTCCCCACGTCCTTCATGAGCCCGGCTTTGTCCTTGGCGGCGTGGCGAGCCACCGACAGCTTGAAGGGCAACAGGAAGTTGCTGGCGGCCCTGAAGCCCCTGCCGACGGAGTAGATCTCGTGTATGAGGTCCTCCAGGCAGATGATGCCGTGTTTACCTGGGAAGGGAGGGAAGGTGGTGAAACTGTTAAAAGACAACAGACACTGAGAAAACACCATGTGTCTTATTCATGCAAACCCTTACAAGTAAATAGGTGGATACGTTTGTCTCACTGAGGTTCTGCAAAGCAGCACGTGACTCATCGACCAACAAATGCTTTCATTCCTGCGGCTGCGTCAACAAACATCCCACCATTCATTTTACGCTGAATTGAGGACGGGAGGAATCCCAGTCTTTTAAAAGAACTTACAGGAATAGGATTTCTGCATTGACATCTTTTTGCAGACATTTAGGACTGCAGTTGAAAACATTACTGTTGCACGTTTTGGTAAAACGACAGTGGCGGGTGTTTGCTGAGTGGTTCATTTAACCTGGATCGAAGCTGCTGCCGGACGAGACTCACCCATGTGCTGCTCGATGAAGGTGTTGTCCGTGAGGGGGACGCTCCTCCTGCCCACCCTGGTCTGTCCCCTCTTCAGAATGAGCTCGCGGACGGACTTCAGGTTGGGAAATCTGAGGGAAACATTAGAGATTTAATTCATGTTACATGACCCCAGATGGTATGGATGGATGGATGAAGCTACTCACCCCCAGGCCACGTAGGGCTCCACTATCTTCATCATGGCCATGGACGTCTTGTTTATTCGGACAAAGGCCCCACTGAATATCTTCCTAAGTCTCAGCATCTGGATCACCTTCATCACTTTGGGGCTGACGCCTTTAATCCTAAAAAGGTAGATGATCCGTGTTGAGCGAACTGGGAAAAGTGACTTCATTAAGAACACGTTAACATGGGCACCCGGCGCATGACGTTATCAACGTCACCTCCACTTGGGACCAGGACGGGTTCTAGATGAGAGATGGTTCTCAGGGGAGATCTTTATTATTTGTTTAGGTTCATGGACAATTCTGATCAGAATCCAAAGACCAGTATCAAGGTGCTTGAACAGATCTCTAGAACATGTACATGTTCTGAGAAGATGTTGTTCAGATTGGTTAGTTACCTTGGGCTGAATTGGGTTAATTGGCTTTAACCTGCCGTCCTCTTGATTATTAGCTCTTATTGCCATTTAGAAAATGAAAAGCCACATGTAGAAACAAGCCGCTGTTTGCACTGAATCAGCAACGCAATGAAGCTGATGTGACCCGCTGCTCTTTACACGCTACTAATCACGGATACGCATCGAGCACTAGTTGCAGCCTTTGCGGACCTCCCTGGCAGTCTAACCTATGGAGAGAGATGGAGTCTTCTGCACGGTCACACACTCACTCTCTGATGCGGACAGCAAAGGCCAGCTTGCTCTTGGCCGGCGGCAGAGGGGCCGGCGGCCTGTGACGTAATCTCTCGATGCGCGTGTCATCGCGGTGGCTCCTGTGGCTTTGTTTCAAGAAATCCTCCAAACGCTTGAACTTCAGCGGTTTGCCTTTACATGTCTGCAAGCACACACATGCACACGTGCCGTTAGACCGACTGCAGAGTCCAGGTACATTTGACCTCTTGACCCTTCGCGATCACTCACCTTTCTCTTATCAAGCAGCGCGAGCTTGGCTTGCGTGGCTTTGATGGCCTGGTACGCTTTCCTCTTCTTCAGGAGGTACTCGGGTACCAGCTTGATCACCCTCTTGGGTCTGATAACAAGGACGCAGAGAAGCAGATGGTGAACTAACGTCAGCAGTGATCTTATTAAAAGGAAGTCACGGAAGGAAGCAGCAGCTTTAAACTTGAGATCGGACAACGCTCCCGCGTGAATATCGCACCAAAAGAGGCAACAGAAGACACAACGTTAACTAAAATTGCCATAGCACACATCTAGTGCCAAATATAGCACCGTACACCAGTAAAGCTGTGACTATGGCTCCGTAATGCGCACTCGGACCCGTGTGAAACCAGACCGCCTAGAAACCAACATTTCTAGAAATCGGCGAGACAAATATTAGTCCCGATATCATTGGTAAGAGATAGACTTCTTACTGAGACTTTAAACACAACGACTACATTTAGAAATAAGACGGATGGACTCAGATATGATACAGTAAAAACATACTCGTCTTCAGCCATGTTGGAATCGTGAGACTCGCACGTCGCGCAGAGATGACGTCAGAGGCCACGGTGGTTTCATTTCCGGCGGACTGGAAACGAGCTTACAGCGCCCCCCAGCGGCCAATTACAAACTATAAAACTGACACTACTTAATGTCAATACACACACACCCCGTTCTCCTTCAGCTTGATGCTTCATAAAACACAACTAAATGTGATAATCAAAAGCTCTTTCTTAGTGCTCATTTAGGGAGTGAGTCTTGAGGAGTCCAAGCAGGCAGACGCAGGTCTGATAAGTTTAGAGACACACAACACTCACGCTTTGTCCGTTATTTTCACATATGTTAGAAGACCACACATTGCATGTGATTGGATCTTGTGTTGTGGCGAGAGGACCTGCTCCTCCTCAACACCAGTTTAGGGCCAACAGAAATATTTTCTTTTATATCTAATAAGAAATATAAAACATAATGTTCTTCCTGATGTTAGCGAGACGTTCTTCCGGCCTGCGGACCGACAGAACTGCTCCTGCTTTTGCAAACGCAGCGCTGATCTTGAGCTGTGAACGTATGTGAGTCTTATGTGAATGTAAAAACACGACATCGGTTACCAACGTCACACAACTTTAGCGATTTCATAAACTAAGATGTGATGTTCTATATTATAACATTTCTATCGGTAGATATTCAAGTGAATTCTATTACTTAACGTTTCATTTAAAAGTGAACTCTTCCTCGCTGTCGGATCACCCGCCTCCGTCCTGAATAAATGAAACCCTTTGCCGTCAGCCGTATGTCGCCCGCCCCCTGTGGTAACGTCCGCGCCTTACCCCCCGCTGTCGGCCGTATTGTCTCCTCCTCGATTTTTTCTGGCTTTCTTAGCCAATTGTCATCAGTTGGGTCTTGTTATTACTAGTGCAATATTATCTAGAAAGGCCACACCAGGCTTCACTTGCATACTGCTTTCATAAACCTGTAAAAGAACATGTGCCTGGAAAGGTAATAAATTGCCAGTGATACTTAATCCAGCATCCAGAGTCAACGGCCCGATATCAGTATCAAATCAGTGCCCTCCTCGTAACAAGAATAGATTCATTCACCGTGATGCCGTCAAAGGTGAAAGGCTCCACACATCTCCAGAAGACCATCTTACAGCAAGCACTATACCCAATGTGAAGAACGGCACCCTCTCCGTCAGGAGGTGATGCTAGAGATCCGTGCACAACACAGTGCTTTCCATCACCATGGTGACAATGGTGTGTTCACTAGGGTACCGCCTTGCTCCTGCAGGCTGAGTGTCCCACTAGGAGGAGACAGAACACGGGGGTCTAATGTGGGCTTGGCCAGTAGACCGGATCCAAGTCTCCCTTTTAAATAGAGACGTGGTGATTTGTCGGCACCGTTTCAGCCAGTGAATGCGTAATAGATGTGTGGGCCTACTACGCATCATTGCAGTCAACATCTGTCTCAAAGAACCCCCCCGAAGGCCTGTTGGGGCTCAACGTGTCTCATCACAGCGGCTCGTTTAGCAGCAGGCTCTGAAAGCTTGAAGGCTTTCAGTCGCAGCTGTAGTGTGAGATAAAGTACTGTTGCCTATATGACGAGTGCAATGCTGGTGTTTTTTTTAAATCTTTTACTAGATCTTTTACTATCTACAACTAGAAGTTGAGTTTATTTGTTTTGTGCAGTGACAAAACCAACATTGGACTTGTGTAGTTAAACCCTTTTCAGACTTCCTGAAAGGCCTGCAAATCAATAAATCTGTCTCCATAAAATATCAAATGATTTATTTCATATGGTGAATTGACAAATCCAAAGGGCAAATATTAATCACATCTGCAGTCTGAAATGACATTTAATTTCCCTTCATCACCGGAACTGTAAAACAATATAAAATACAAATATATAACGAGGCATATCTGTCCGTTTACTAGCACTGTGGTCGGCCCACAATTGTGTTGAGTCTTAAAATACTTGCGACAGACAGTATGGAGCAAACTAAACACACCTCCCTGATCATGTCAACGTAATCATGTGACCATAATCAGATGGTAAATGTGTAAATTATTGGCTTGCAGAAAAGGAAGTATCTTATTTTCAGTAAAAAAATGACAATAAAACTTGTGGAAAGGTGGCCTTCATTGTTCCTATATTATCATAGGGGGGCTCAGCAGAAACCATTTGGGAACCTCTGTGCTATGGTTTGACAGCGGGAGAACATTCCTGTTGGTGCCGGTGCTGCTTGGCAACGTTCACCATTCGCCGCCCGCTGATGTCACGGAGCTGCCTCCCGTTCACCCCCGGGGATTTCACTTACTGTTGCCAAGTCTTATCTGATCAATAAGCACTTGGTGCACACATCCCTCTCATAGCCACCGTATATTGACAGGTGAGCCTTTGGGGGGACACCGCCGCTCCATAAAAAGCCCCATCTGATCACTCTGGGCTTTGATTGCGATGGCGCCGGGCCATTGTTAACAAGCGCTCCGATTGGACACTTGCCATACAAAATTAATGACCATCTGCTGTGGGCATGATGGATGTAAACAACTTCAGATGGCTGTGTGGGGGAGATGAAGGCATTTATCTGCCCAGTCATCATGAGCTCCATTTGCTCTTCTCCCTCCCCTCTCTATCTCTCTGCTTCACTTTAATTGTCTTCCTCGGTTTCATCTGTCACCCACCAAGTTCTGCCCTTCCTCTTTTTTCTTGTCTTTATATTTGGATATATGGATTTCACCAATGGTTGAGGATTTAAGATTTTCCGTGACTGTTAAGGTTGGCAGGTGATTTTAACAGTTCTTAAGAATCTTTTGTTAGGGTGCTGTAAGGGTTACAGGTAATGGAAGCCAAAAGCACAACTCTCAGACGGAATCCGTGAACGAGGATAGGCAGGGTTCAGAACCAGGATGGCAATCCGACAGGTGAACAAATCCAAAAAGGGGCAGGCGAAGAGTTCGGGGGCGAAAAAGCAGGCTAAGTCAGGACGGGATATCAGGTAAACGCTGGAAAACTTGTCCTCTGCCAGATTGTCTTGTGTATGCCAGGTGGAAGTGTGGGGACCTAAATAGTAGGGGGCTAATGAGGGAATGGGCTGCAGATGGGAAGGGCATGAGGACCAGGTGAAGAGAATGAGATGATTTCTTGTTGATGACAGGATCTGGAATGACAGAGTTAATTGACAAGAAAGCAGGCAGGAAGGAGAAAAACTAGTAAGATGGAGAATTCGTGACAGAACCTCCCCCTCTAGGGACGGCTCTTGACGTCCCACAGGGCTGGTCTGGGTTAGCTTGGTGGAAGTCAGTGATCAGGGAGGGATCGAGAATGTTGCGAGCGGGAACCCATTCCCGCTCCTCGGGACCATAACCCTCCCAGTCTACCAGATATTGCCGTCCCCTACCCCGTCGCCGAGATCTGAGTAGACAACGGACCGTGTAGACAGGTCCCCCATTGATGAGCCGGGGGGTTGGTGGGGGTCGGGTGGGGGGCTGTTTCCAAGTGCGTCGGCACCTCTGGACAAATGGCTGCACTGAGGGGACACTGGCCTCCCGTTCCTGCTCAGGGAACAGTGGTGGTTCAGGAATCAGGAACCAGGAAACATTTATTGCCAAAATATGTCAAACATACAAGGAATTTGTCTTGGCGGTTGGTGCGTGACAGTAGACAGTGTAACAATAGACAACAAGACAGGAGTGCACAAGTAATAAAATAAAATAAAATGCTAATGCAATGGGTTAGTATAATAAGGCTATGGGTTAGTATAAAATAAACTAAGTACCCTCTGGCACGCTGGAACGGTGAGAGCCCGGTAGCTGAACTGGGTAGGGTGTTGTGGGCATACCACAGGAGCTGCTCTGACTAGAAGGAGGGGTTGCGAGATGAGACATAGTAACATTGTCTCCATCTCTTGGTTCATCCGCTCAGCCTGCCCATTAGATTGGGGATCGTAACCGGAAGAGAGACTGGCCATGGCTCCTAGCAATCTACAAAACTCTGACCAAAAACGATAACCAAATTTGTGGTCCCTGGTCAGAGACCATGTCAATGGGTAAACCATGCAGCCGGAAAACATTTGCAACAAAACTTTAGTGGTCTTCTTGGCAGTGGGTAGCTTTGGTAGTGGTATTAATAGAGCAGACTTTGAAAATCGATCAATGACCGTAAGGATGACTGTGTTACCGTCAGAGGGGGACAGGCCAGTTACAAAATCCAAGGCGATGTGGGACCAAGGGCGTTTAGGAATAGGCACAGGGTGAAGAAGTCCGGACGGAGGTTGGCCTGTGCTCAAATGCTGGGAGCAGACCAGACAAGCACCGACAAACTCTTTTGCGTCCTCCTCCATGGAAGGCCACCAGAAGCATTGTCTGAGCATTGCTAGAGTGCGTCGGATCCCGGGATGGCAAGCCAGGCGTGACTTGTGACCCCACAGGGGTTAGGTGTCTTGCTCAGGGACACCCGCCCTACTCCCTGCGCCACGACGACCCCTGTTCCTGCAGAGATTTTGAAAAAACAAGGATGTCATCCAGGTACACAAAAACACTGACATTGAGCAGATCCCAGAGAACATATGTGAGAACGGCATGACTAAATACTCATAATGTCCACTAGGAGTATTAAAGGCAGTCTTCCACTCATCTCCCTCTCGGATTCTTACCAAATCATAAGTATTACAGAGATCGAGCTTGGAAAATATTGTAGCACCTTGTAGCAGCTCAAATGAGATTAGGGGAACAGGGTACCTGTTCTTGATCGTAATGTTATTGAGTCCCCTGTAGTCGATGCAGGGGCGCAGGGTCTTGTCTTTCTTACTGACAAAGAAAAACCCAGCTCCCGCAGGCGATGAGGAGGGCCTAATGAAACCCGCAGCCAGAGAGTCATTGATGTATTTCTCCATGGCTTTAGTCTCTGTAGCAAACAGTGAAAAGAGTCTACCTCGGGGAGGAGCTGTTCCTGGAAGGAGGTGAATAGCACAGTCACACGGACGATGAGGTGGTAACGATGTGGCCCGGGTTTTGCTAAAAAAAAACTTATGATCATGGTTTTCCTTGGGAACACAAGAGATATCCGTCACTTCCGAGGCGGCCTGCAGACTGGGGCCGGCGATGAGACAGGTCTCAGGCACACAGCATGGCAATGGGCACTCCACTGTAATACAGTTCCCGAAGCCCAGTCAATGTGTGGATTGTGCCTTCTAAGCCATGGATAGCCCAAAATGACCGGTTGCTGTGGTGAATGGATGAGATGGAAGGTTAGTGTCTCATTGTGATTACCTGATACCGTCATAGCCAGAGGGGGAGATTGATGGGTAACCCTGCAGAGGAGATGACCGTCTAATGCTGTGGCGCGGATTGGTTCCTCCAGGGCCTCCTGCCCGATCCCCAGTTGAGAAGCCAGAGGCATGTGATCACAGGGTCCCCCTTCCTTTTTTGCCTCAACGACCGTTTTCATGTCAGACAATATTTCACAGACCTGTCTTGAATGTAAACACGCTGACCGCTAACCGGCCGAGGGGGGGTTGTGTCTCAGTGTCTACTGGTGGGAACGGTCGTGCACTCGAGGAGTGGACGATTGTGAATGCTAGGTGAGACTTGGGAAATATGACAAGAGGGACGAGTGCACCTAATTAGTGGAGAATTTTCAAAATAAAACATTTTTTACATTAAAAAAAAGTCAAAATAACAAAAAATTAAATCTATCTCTGGTACAGCCGGTACCAAACGGCCTGCGGCCAGGTGGTTGGGGAGCTCTGCTCTAGCAGAATTGGTTAGTTCCAGACTAGAAGATTGAACCGGACCTTGTTTGCATTTGCAAACATTTAAAAAAGTTCCTAAAGATTTCACTTGACAATTGAATGGAAAAGCAACTACAGTCCTGACTCACTGCGACGCTTAAGTCAGTGACACTTGTGCCTCGTCGGCTGTGAGGAGTAAGAGGCCAGCTCTACGGCACAGAGAAATAGGCTGTATGGGCGGCTCGTGTCAGGCTTTGGATCCTTTCATTGGATTTGTTGACAGGAAGAGATGATTGAATATCATCAGAGACACTAAAGATTTTTTAATTAGTAGATGTTGGTCTTTAGAAAAGAAAATACAATACATTCATTGCATTACAGTTCCCATCTGTGTGTTGTGTGTCCTTTTTTCTCTCTTTGCACACACACAGACGCACACACACTGCGTCTCTCACCTCTCTGTCGCCTTCCCTCTGCCTCTCTGTGACGGCTGGCTAATGACACTTTTCCACATGGTTTGCTTCTGTGTGTGATCGTGATTGTGTGTGCGTGCTGGCCAGGTTTAAAAAGGATTTCCCATCTTCCTCTGTCGAGTCAGCACAGCTGTCTAACTGCCTCCTCGTCTCCCCGACACACGTCTCCATTAATCCCAGCGTTCCTCCAGCACTCGTTTCTTACTCTGATACGGTCTCGTTCCCTCTCTGTTCCTGCTAGCGATCTGATCGTGTGAGCCTCCATCTCTTGCCTGCTCACACTCAACTCCTGCAACGTCTTCTGCCAGTTTCCTCTCCGATGTTGCCGTCTATGTGCCTCGGCCTCCTCCTCTCCACCCCAGTCTGCTTTTCTCTGCTGTGTAACAGAGAGTGACATGTTTGGTAGCTCCCTCTGCTCTCCCCCCTCATAAGGTATAACTGTCCTGACCCACTTCCACATGCAGCCTCTGCCACATATAGATATATGCGGCTGTCAAACAACTGTCAGAACTGCTAAAGACAATGATGTGCAGCCTATTGAGCTGAGCTGACAGCATTGGGCGTGATGGAATACCTGAAACTAAGATCTTCGCCTCGCTATTGAAAAGTACTTTAAATGAGCGCATGGTTCTGCTTTTGAGCGGAAGGAGCAGATCCGGCACTCAGCCTGGCTGACTGTACGACTGCGGCGCTACAACGAACTTGTCTAAAGGGACACTGGTGCCTGCAGACATTACCGCAGAGGTTACTTTTCATATGAAACAAAGCACACAAATCTATGCAACAAGAAATGAGGAAATAAAAAATTCAAAACGACTGAGGAGGACAACCCCCTAATGAAACAGAACAGATATTTGAAACTGTGTGGCAGATCAAACTGCTGCCAGATGTGCGTCACGGTCAACAGCAGCGCCGTGAAATTCAACGAGTCACACAGGGAAGGATCATCTGCCACTAAGGCTGAAGATGGAGATGCTGATCTGTAGCCTGCCTCAAACTCACATGGCCTAGTAGTGGCCTCTTTAAATATGAAAATAAAAAAGGTCATATTTTAGGAAAGCCACAGCTATTCGGCCTGTTGTTAAGGGTTGATTAGTTGGTACACGTTTAATTCCCCCTATGAGTGATGAGTTGTTTGCAGAAACGAGGAATTCATAACCCACATAAAGTCACATCATGGGTGTTTTTGAGAAAAGCTGCTTAGAATTCCGAATGCTTCATTACTCAATATTTGCATAAGATTTGTGATCCTTGGTTGCGTTACGGCTTTGAAAATCAGACAAGGACCACGAGGCTCCAGTGATTAAACTTTTTCAATCATCTCTATCATTGTTCCTACAGAACGTGATTACTCTGTGATTTTGTACCGCAATCTACATACTGATGAGTGGAACTTTTCATTTTATAACAAAGCACGGCTGAAAATGTGAATCCTCCTTTTGGCAGAATAAACAAGCCTCACAAAATGTAACTAATTACAACTAACTGTTGACTGATTACAAATATCTATAACACTGCACTCTTTTGTACTTTTTGAATTAATCAATTTAATTAAAAGATATGCATTTTTTATTATTTATAATATTAATTCAAATAAGTAAATAATAATGATTACAATAATTGAGTTGGCCTGCGAAGCAGAGCCAGACTCCTTGTTGTTGGAATGCTGCCTCAGCAGAATCTTTTACTGCTTTACTTTTTTAACATGGTTTTCCAATGAAGTTCATTTTCAAGTTGTTTAAACTTTCAGCTACAGACACAACTTAAAATGTTGGCAAAAGTCTAAACTATTTTAGAAAAAACATCTAGTTGATATCTATTTTACTTTTTTTCATAATCATTGATTATGTTTCATTAGACTTTCTCTGTCTGCACTCTGAGCGCTGTTACCGTGGTAACTCAGATGTTACTATGTGACTATTTACTTTATGGTTAACACCTTTACACTGACCTCCCGAATGTCACAAGTTAGTCCCTCGGTCTATTGCAGCGGTTCCCAAACTCAAGAACGCCGCGGCCCAAACCTTTAATCACAACTCTGATCAAAACATAATGATTAAATTAGAATTTAACCAAAATCAAACATCCGCGAGCAAAGGTCCGTCTCGCGAGGTATTTGCTCGCTCGCGAAACGTGAGCTTCGTTGCTCGCGAGGAGGATCTCTGCTCGCGCTGGAAGGAGTTTTCTACGCGCTCGCTGTTGTTCTTTCTGACAGTGAGGTGGAGACGGTGCGTTCAGGGTCCGATCGATGCTGCGAGGTGCGTCCGCTCCCGCCGCCCCCCTCGCCATCCACGCCTTAAATCTTCGGCTGCTTTTAGAATAACTTATTTTCCCCGTTAAGATGGTTGAGCTACTGTAGAGAAAAGGGCGCCGTCTCTCGCTCTTTAATCTCATGAAGCGCTCGGCGATGGTGGTAAGGTGAACGAACAAATCTTTCTTTGAGTCATTTGTTGACGGGGGGGGGGAGATATTACCGACCGTGTAAAATGAACAAATCTTTTTTTGGAGAGGACTCGTTACTCTCGAGTCCGATTCGTTCATGGACGACACATGACTAGTTTCCACCTGTGCCCTGTGTGTGTGTGTTGTCTGCGCCTGTGCCAGATCGTCTTGTCCCATGTCAGAGTACCAGCGCGTACCAGTGTCCGCCGCCAAGCTTTACCTCGGTTTTGTACCTTGTCCAGACTCGACTTCGCTTTTGTTTTCCAGCCTAGTGTTTATTTTCTAGATCCTTTTGTTCTTAGATTTAGCATAGGGCCATTTTCCTCTACCTAGAGAGCCTTTTTGTTAATAAACCCTGATTTAAACATTGTCTCCGGAGTTGTGCGTTTGGGTTCAGGGCCATTGTTTCCAGTCGTGACAATTGTGGTCTCTGGCTCCAGTTGCGTAGAATATCACGGGGTCACACAACTATAACAAAAAGTACTAGTAATTATGCTGCTATTAATACTACAACTACTCTACACATACTACTACGACTAACACATTTTCTGAAATTCTGGCAGCGGCGGGGGGTCAGGGGGGCAAGGCGCGCCCCTTACCGCCGGCGGCGGGGCGGGGCTATGGCGGGGCGCGCTAGCTAGCATTGCACTTGTATTAACAGGACCTAAGCGCTGACAAGTGGCTAAAACAGCCAGAGACAATGAGTCATTCTTTAGTTTGCTAGCTAGCCTTGATGGCTATCCTTCACTAGCCTGCTTGGCCGACTCATGCACAGTCACCTGCGGGCAGTCGAGGCCACACGCTTAAATTTTATAGTTTCCCCTTTGCTATACACTAAGGAAACTCTGTCTTTTTTATTATATGTCAATAAAAAGAATTTATAATGGTGGCCTGCCTTTGTGTAAAAGCAAGAATGACATAGTTTGTATTTCCATCCTAATGGATGCTGTTGGTTTGGAAGCAATGCACACATTCACCCCCCCCCACAGACACACAACCTGATATAGACTCCACATCTACAACCACGCAAAAGGCCTCTGCCCAAGAGACAAAATATGACGAGCAGAGATGAGGCGACGTGAAAAGGTCCGCAGTTGGATCTGAGGAATCAGACGCACACACACGAACATGGATCGATGCCATAATCTGTGGATGCCACATTTCTCTGGGCTGTGTGACATTGCAGGACTTTCACACACTGCTTTTACGGTCTTCTGTGTTCCCACGCTGCTGCACCCGCACAGCTGCTTTTATAAAGACTCCCTCACACGCAGCACGTCTCAGAACACAGGAACACACACGGCCGTGTAGAGAACCAAGAGTTGTAGTTAAGGTAAGTGGAAGCAGCTTTGAAATTAGCCTGTTTTTGATGACTTTAAGTTTGTGCGATGTGAGGCAGTTCAGTTGGTTGACACGATAATCAGGTTTTGTTTGTTCCACTGGTGAAGAGCTGCTCTGTGCTTTGCTATCAAATGGCAGCACGTTGAGTTCCTGTTGCTTTTCGTTACTCTGCTTACCTCCGTCCTCTCGATGTTTGGAAGGATCATCTTTTAACCCGGTGGGCTTTAAAATGGGATTAACTGGGATTAAGATAAATATTCAAATTGCTCTTTGTAGCCAAAGTATTTTGGCAAACTACCTTTTAGAATACTGTTATACATACATATCTCTAGTTTATTGAACTCTTAAATTCCAATCCTTTATGGAGACCATAACGTTCTGAATGCATGATGGTTATTGCGGATGGATAACTGGTCACATTGTGGCTCCAAGGGTTATATCACAAGAAATATTCATGTTCATGTGTGTGATCTATATTGGATTATAGAAGAATTAAACAGCCATATTTGTCTTTTCCACAGAAAGCTGAACTGCTTTCCGATGAGGAAGAGGAACAGTCTCTTCTCCTTTTGAAATGAAGTTATATACAAAATATATTTAAATAAAAGGCAACCAAAAATTGGCTTCCACGGATGGAAATTAATCTAATTTCACAAAAAGCAATAGGTATTGTTTAAAATATAATTTAACTCTGTTTATGGTTTCATTAAAATGATGAGACAAATATGGCACAAACTCAGCTCTGTATACAAATATAAAGGCTGATTAAGGAAACCTAGCAGCAACTTCATCTTACACAGAAAATACAATGTGGCAACCCAGTCCCACTGCAAAACGTGTGGTAGCTACGTTGTGGAACATGGTGTTCTCACGCTTTCGCCCCAAAATTGTGACAATGCTACGTTTTATTTTGGCCCTGTCATTTACATCGCCTTGCAACTCGTCACTAGAAACTAATAAACGGAAGGTCTTCTACATTCTCTGATAGAAGATGATGAAAATATAACGCATACTTCTCGCTAGAAATGCCATCGAAATACATACAAATGCTGACGCTTTCTTAAAATAGTGTTTTTCACAGATAATGGACCAACAGTTCGCCATTTTCTTCTTTCTAGCTGAGGGAAAGTTGATAGTCACGTGACCTCGTTGCAAACGAAACCTTGTATTGTCACAACGTAGCTATTACCTGTTTTTGCTGTGAGACTGGGTTGAATGTGGCAGTGTTGTTGAGCATATTGATCGGGACAATGAATATACCTGAATGTGTACATTCCACAAGCACCGGCCATCCATCTACGGAACCAAAACAGCACGTTCTATTTTAACCCCTTGAATCTTCCAGCTGCCCCTTAACCTCTGGACCGCAGCGCTGCTCTAACAGACCATCAAACTACGGCCCTTGTTGTCCAAACTCAACATCTGGACTGCTGCAGCAGATTGTGGGGGCGACTGTGGGTGAGGGGGAGCACGGCCGCTCTCCTATCAGGGGGTTGGCAGTTCGATCCCAGGCCTGGCTGACCCGCATGTCCATGTGTCCTTGGGCAAGACACTTAACCCAAATGGCTCCTGTAGCTGCGACTACAGAGTGTGGGTGTTAGTGACTGATGGGCAGGTGCCACTGTGTGGTTCTCCTGTCATCAGTGAATGAATGGGTGTGAATGGGAACGTGCACAGACATTTTGGGGGGCAGGTGCTCAAACCACAACAAAATGATTCATGAAATTAATAATAAAGTAAACAAATAGAAAACACAGCAGGATATTTTCCCGGTCCTTCTGCTTTTCGAGTCTCTTTTCTTGGCATTATGCTGAAAATTTTGTAAACAAGATAAATCAATGTTGTGTATAATAATCAAAAGCCGACAACACACACACACACATTTTTTGTACTGTTTTCTGACAGTTTGGAAGTGACGGAGTTGAAGCATAAGCAGCATTACACTAATAATATATCTCACCAGACTGTCACTCAACTTAAGACCTTTCATTGCAACAATTTAATCAAATTCAAATCAAAACTAGTGAACTTGTCTAATTTGTGTGTTTGTCTGTATCTCCCTCTCACATTAAACATGACAAACGTCAGCAAAACTTTAAATCATGGATTCTGTGAGTTTTGTGTTTGTTTATTTTTTAGGAAATATCGGACCAGTTGTGACGTAATGTTTTCAGCAGCACTAATGTTGTGGTTAATTTAGCACTGCACGAGGAGGACGAGGGGCGGGACTTGTCAGCTCCACGGAGCATGTCGGGGCGAAATTCTCACAATAACTGAAATAAATGCCAGTCAGATATCAAACCACATTTGGGGGGAATTGATGGCAGAGAGGAGTCGTTTTTATTCTTAAATATTGATGAATGAAGAAACATCCAGGGCAAAAGGGCAGGTGCTTGAGCACCAGTAGGTGTCTATCTGTGCACGTTCCTGGAATGGGCGTGAATGATGACATGAAGTGTTAAAGCTCTTTGAGTAGTCAGAAAATATAAAAGTAGGGTACGTTTACCATTTTATTGATTGATTTATTATTTTAGCACATTTATTTATGAATGGGAACAGGTAGCAGCACAAACATGTTGTTTATGCTGTCAACAAGTCGATTAATCAATAATCTATGTTCACTAGCAGAGTTTGCTACCTTTCTCCATTCCTCCAGTTCATAAGAGCAGAGAAGCAATCCAAGCCAAAGATTTAAAAGTTCGATGGTTCATTTAATCGCATGCCAAGTATTTTCTTCTATAATGGTTCAGTGTAACACACTACGTAGTGGGTCTGGCTCGCTTTTATCAACTGGTTACATAATAATGTTTGTCTGTCTCATTCTCTCTACGTCTTCACCGCTCCAGGGGTGATGCATTACCAGACGTGGTTGATGATTCTTGTGCTGTGGACGATACAGGCTGCGGAGGGATGTCCCGATGTCTGTAAATGCTCCAAGAAATCTGCTCCAGAAAAGTCAGAGGTCAATTGTCATAAGAAAGGGCTACGTGCTTTTCCCTCCAGACTGCCCCCTGATGCTTGGATTCTCAAACTAGGTGAATACATCATGGTTGATCCAATCAAACCCAACAATTGTTGTGCTCCACACTCAGTAATGTATCTGACATGGACTTCTTGTACACCTGAGCATTGTGGGAAATGGCTGCTTTGCTTTATTAAAGGTGAAAATGGTATCATAGACCTGAAGGCCAATGCTCTCAGATCAACTCCAAAGGTTGAGAGCATCAACCTGGAACGAAATGCCATCAAGTCCATCCACCACCAGGCCTTCTCTGGTGGAAAGCAACTGATGCTCCTTAATCTATACGGCAACCACATCACCAGCCTTCCACTGAAGGGCTTCCAGGTACAGACCTTTTGGAGAGGAATTGTATACATGCACAGTGGTCCCCACAAAAAATGAACGTTGTGCTTCCCTTCAATGTCTTCAGGACCTCCTAAACCTTCGCTTCCTAATGCTGGGACATAACCAGATTGGCAGCCTCAAACCTCAGATGTTTGCTGGAATGAGGAACTTGTCAGACTTGGACCTTCCGCTTAACGCACTGACAACGCTCCCATCTAATGCCTTTAAACCTCTGATCGCCCTTAAAGTTCTGGACCTTTCCCTGAATCGCATCCAGAAGATCTCTCCGAAGGCCTTCATTGGACTCAGACAGCTTATGTTCCTCAACTTAGACAATAACAGGTCATCAAAATTGTCCTTTAATGGATTATTCTATGTGCTGTGTATATGTGTATGTGAACTATGCATATACCTGGTATGTGGTATCTAAATTCATCGACATTGAGTCACTACTGAACTACTTTAGCATTAAGGACATATTTCACAGATTGTTATCTTTGCTGTGTACAACTTAACAGCAGAGCAGAATTGTCGAGATAGGAATGTTTTCATATTGTCCAAAATACATTTTTAGTTGTGTAGTATAATCATGTTCATTAAGGAATTCTGACTTTCAAAATCCAGTTTGAAGAACGTTCCGGCCGGAGCATTCAGACCACTGCGATCTCTGGAGATGCTGGTTTTAGATAACAACCTTCTGTCCATGCTGGGCTCCTCAACTCTGGAAGGCATGGAAAACTTGCAGGTAACGTGCATTATCACATCTGGTCCATTTGGTTTTCTGTTATTGTGCAAAAGTTCCTGTCAATTGAAGAATGTATTTTTAGCTAAATAAGAGCAATTGTGTGACCTTCCAATTAAACATTTGTATATCCAGGTTCACTTTGACACACGTGTGTTATGGTGCATTTTGTAGACCAAATGTTAAACAGAAAATGTGCTGAATATGGAATCAGGAACTCTACCTGAGGAACAACGAGCTGGAGCACCTGCCCCCTGATGTGTTCCGAAAGATGGCCAAGCTTTCTCAACTGGCTCTCAGTGGAAACCGCCTGAAGACAGTGGATGGAAACGTGTTCGCCCATATGCCTGGTACAACTACCACCAGCCTGCCGTTTACAGACCCACTTTCACTGCGACCAAGTGGTCACTCTTAATAGTAGAGTTAGCAATGCCTACGTTGTTTACTGACGATTCCATTTGGTGATTTTCCTTTTCCGACCCCTGTCAGACCTAAAGAAGCTGCACCTCCATGACAACATGTGGCAGTGTGACTGTAACATTGCCTCCTTGGTGCGATGGATGGGGCAGACCAAGGCCACCCTGTCGCCCCGGGACGCCCTGATGTGCGTGAGCCCACCGGAGCTCCGAAAGAAGAGCCTGTCCAGCCTCCAAGCCGACAAGTTGTCCTGCCATGAATAAAGCCAGAGAACCTAAGGAACACTCTAGGAACGGAGTTCTTTCCAGCCCATACATGTCGTCGTTGGGTTGTGTATTCTCTCAACTACGAGAAAAACCATTGTGGTGTTTTCAGTTTAAAACCCCCTAGAAAATTACCACATATTTTTAGTATAAAAAAAGCCATGTATGCAATTTCAACTTCAAAGCATTGGACATTTACATTTGCAGTTAAAGCATAAAAATAATAAAAAATGATGTTCTGATCTTTTCATTGAGCAGAAAGACATTTGTGCATCACTGTTGTTCTCTCCACCAGCAAAGAACAAGTGCTTTATCACCAAATTCAACACCGAGATTATTATTATAATCTCATATTGCTTGACACACGGAGGCTGGTTAGGGAAGGTTTGTGAAGCGGCGGATTACATGCAATGGGATTATATTAATCCGGTTCTAGGAAATGCTTTCTGTAATCTTTTGTAGTTGATGTTTACAAAAAAAAAAATCGATATTAAAAGCCTTGAGGAAGTGAGATGGTAGCGCAGGAGGATGTAGGAAGCAACCGATGATGGATGGTGACAATACAAGTTCATTAAAATTGAAGTCCGTAAATGATGTAAGGAAGGTGATACAGGGTGTTTGACAACTCACATTGTGTGTGACGCTTCTTCCAACAAATTTGAATACCTGGCGGCTGCAATTTGCTCATATTAAACCTTGATAGCAACTTGACAAACGCTTTACTGGCAAGTTGTCTAGTTAAAAGTTCTGATTGTACAGAAGTCTATGAGAAGATTCATTTGTCTACATTAAGCACACATGCAAGACTGCATATGTACCACAAAAGCATGCACCAAATAAGCCACATTCAGACCACTACTCCGTCGTGGGGCAGTTTTCAAGTGACCTTTTTAAACGTAATGAAATGCAAAACACCCCAAAAAAGTACATGACTGCACACTTTTGGCATCAAAGTGAATAGAAGGACACAGATCATTTCCTTTTCTCTGTCATTGAACACTTCACACTATGTTCTGCTATTTTTGTCATGCAACCGTCTTCACAGATACAGTTCAGTCAGGTGGAACAACCAGGAAACGAGGAAATAGCAGGAGCGTCATATCCTGCCCTCAGCTACTTCCATGCACTTTTCCCTACAGTGACCTTGACATGAAAATACCAGCGTCTCCCCCTTTGGCGCGGGAGATAATTGCCATTATTTCCACCTGCATTAAACCTGCTATTATAGGAGAGCGCCAAAGAACAATATAATAGCTGTGGTGTTCTGAGCCGTTGCTGGTGTTCAGCGGCAGGTTTTTTCAGTGTGTTGATCCGACCACCTGCTCTCTTGACCCAATTTCATCCCATAATCTAAAAATCTATCGTTCTTGACCGTTTTCCTTTCCTCACCTCACCTCATTAACATTAACACAAAACTCTCTGAAGGAGGCAAGAACCCTCTCCTGAAGAAACCTACCCTCAACCCTTCTGAAAAAAAAAAAACTACAGACCGGTCTCTCTTCTTCCCTTTTTGTCCAAAACTCTGAACGTGTGATCTTTAACCAACTCTCCTTCTATCTCCACCGTAACAACCTCCTTGACCCCCACCAGTCAGGTTTCAAGGCCGTTCCACAGAGACTGCTCTCCTTGCTGCTAGAGCTCCTCTCTCCTCTGTCCTCCTACCAGGACCTGACTGTTAACACGAAGTTGCCAAAGTTAACGCCGACTTTGACTGCCAGGAATTGTTTAAAATATAATTAAACTGTGTTTAAAGTTTCATTAAAATATGAGACAAATAGAGCAGAGGAAAACATCTCTTTGCAAATATGTGGGGGGAGGAAGAGTTTCAGATATCAAGAGCCACTATCAAAGAGAAGAGTGAGTGGGCGTGAACAAAGATGGAGGGTCAAAAGGTGTTTGAGGGGATAAATTGGGATTTGGACTAAACAAAGGTTCATTTTGGCAGCTGAGATAGGGAAGACATTTTGGAGAACGTTGCTATTAACTCTCTATACAAAACCATAACCCAGACACAACTGCAATCTCTTACCTTCTATAATACAGAACAGCTTTAACTTGGATTGTGGAGAATGTAGGCATATTTATATTGACATGTTTTTTGTCTTAGCCTGTGAGCAGACATGAGATATTTAGAACACACTGAAGAGCTCTGCAGAACAAAGGAACAGCCGTCAAGTGAGGAGTGTCAGTGGGTTTCATAGCTGGAACCTGAGCTGAGAGACAGAGACAGAGAAACCGACCTTCATCCAAGGAGGATGGAGACGGAAGGTCACACCGACCAGAAGTATTTGGACTGTGGACCCAATGCGCCCGGGAAGCCGGACGGCGTTGGAGAGCACACGACAGTCCGTATTCTGTGAGAGAGAATGTAATGAATCATTATTTTTGTTGAACGCTGGGGTGACCAAGGCTGGGAGAAGGTGCGCGTCAGACAGACCTATCCGGGGGCCATCCAGCACCAAAGTCGCCCAGGTAAAAGGACCGGGCTCCTTTAACAGTGGGCTTGGTTTTCCCCGAGGCCAACAGTGAACTAAATAACGTAAATCAAACTGTCCATCTGCAGAGAAGCTGACTTTCTATACGGGTTGACTCCTTTTCCAATGATCACGATCACGATTCATTCATCATAAATCATGGATGTTCATTTCTTTATCTTCTATCAGATTTTCAAAAAACATTGAAAAGCAAATGGCTTAACCAAAAGGAGATGCTACTATATATGAATATTGTCAGCACAATAACATCAACAAACCTATTTTAGTGTAACTGTTATTGATTTGAAAATATTAGCATGTCATTTCATGAATTAGAGAAGAACATCAGAACTTGTTTAATATAAATGCCTGGGAAGTAATTCAGATCTAAACAATGAAGACCAGGCGAGTCAGCGCAGCTGGATTTTGTGCTCCTGCCCCACTGTTCATTGTAGATCATCAAACTGAGAAATGTTGTCTCATTGTGATAAATAACCCCCTTTTCACCCCCAAATTGGCTTGTTGCTTACTGGAGGCGTGACTCGTCTCAGACACACAGGCTTATGTCCACATCGGTGGCGTCAGTAACAGCAAATGTCCTCTATGTGAAAACAAAAGAAAAAAGAGTCTAAATATGAGAAACAAACCTTTCTTCATATAGAAGGAACATTGTGTCAGACAATGAGCCCTGCTCGAGCAGAGAGTCTTATGATTAATGGAGGCTGTGGAATAGTATGATGTGTCGCTGCGCAGTAGTCGCATCACTCTTTCCTTCCACGATGTCAAAACCTCTGAGAAACAACAGACAAACACCCAAAACATTCAGCGTGAGTCCTACAAAAAGTGCCCAAAGGTAAAGCCTCACATGACGTTTGAGCACGCTCGACTCCAAAACGCTGATCTCAACCAACGACCCTCCTTACTCACTGTTGCTATAGTAACCAGCCTATGTATGTCACCTCCACAGATGTGCATGTTGTCTGTGTTCTGTATCCCTCATCGTCGCTCTGCCGACTGGCAGAGGGCAGCTTTAGACCGAGTAGCCATGTTTTAAGCACAAAGGCTACTGGCTCAACGCAGCCAGCCAATGAAACTCCTGGCTTCCTTTGGTGAGAAGCTCTCAATGGGGCATTTCCTGCCTGACACCAGGCAGCAGGAATCCCTCATCGCCACGCAGCAGTGGCAACGGTCCGCAACACACACACACTGGCGAACTTCACCAACACACACACTGCAACTGCAGTTCACACATTTGTCCTCAGCAGCATCACACTTTCCCGAAACCGATGGGGGGGGGGGGGGGGGGGGGCTTCGTTGAGCTGGAGGGCATAAAAAAAAGAGGAAATCCACAATTCAGTTGGTCAACATTGATCCAAAAATATGTAGGAACAGTGAGAGGGATCTGATGACACAGGGGGAGCTGCGTCCCTCGCTCACAGACACATTTTACGTCCAAAACAGTACTCAGCTTTATGGTGCATTTGACTCCAAATGGGATCATATGTTACTAAATGAACATCATGTATTGAACGGACTCAACACCAGCATTAAGGAACTCAAGTTTACAATGTGAGGTGACAAATCACCAAAGAAGTCGTTTTTTATGGACTTCTAACATCACAATTTATTTTTTGCAACTGCAGGACTTGCCGCCTGTTGGTCAGTAGAGAGAATGCACCGTAGAAGACACTTCAGCATCGGCTACATGTCAACTTTAAAGTGTTGCCACCGACTAAAAGCCATACTGGTGTTCACCTCATACTTGTCTGTATTTTGAATTGAGTGCTAAGAACTCTGTTATTTTGTTGGTAAAGAAGAGAACAAAATCAAATGTTGGAGAGTGCACAAAACAATTGCTTTGTCTGCATCTTTTTGCAAATACGAAAAAATCATAATTGATATGGAACAGTTGGCAATAATTCATTTGACAAAACAACAATACCTTATTTATGGACTCGGGTGTGTGACTTTCTCTGTTTCTGTAGTGTTTCAATGACGCCAAAACGTGCGTGAATTTTTAAGGAGAAACAGAGTTTCCTGTGGTGAGGCACCCTGCCCCAAACTGCAATTCCTTTATTTTCCTCCCCAAAGTGATTAAAGTGAAGTAATTTGAATGGCGAGAAGTAGACTGATAAAATGTTCACTCTGTCCTCAAGCACTTTGCCAGCCTCTTAATGTTCCTTTTAGGAAGGCAGATGGGAAGGACGGTAGACCTCATGTGAAAGGTGGACTGCAAATCGCAGGTTGCCCAATGACAGCTGGCACCGGCTCCAAGTACCCGCGGCCCAGAGCAGGATGAGCGATTAAAGGTGATAGATGGAAGAACGTAATTGCTCTCGTATCATAGATTTAAAGTTATTTTAACAGTTAAATTAGATAATCTAATAGGACTGGATATCTTATTTTAGCATAAAAACTGGACGCCAGGGTTGAACAGCGGTGATTTTAATCTTTACATCAATGACGCCACACGTCAGGATCATTTTAATGCTTTGTAAAAGGACGCTAATTCGTTAGAACTTGATTTCTTTCTCTGAGAGAAATCCTATGACTTAGTTTACCACAATTAATACAGTTGTTTCACCGTGTGTTTCTACATTGTCGGGCTTCTCTTCTGATAATTTAAACAATTACTGTTTTTATTGACAATGTAACGCCAATTAGGGGTGTTATTTATCAGGTTAGATGGTTATATAACTGTATCTCATTCTCCCACATTATCTCTTTTTAGCCCACCTAACAGACTTAATTAAATTTTAAAAACTAGATCCCGCTTTAAA